AATGATCCAAATGTTCCGGAAATCTTTAGAAAAATCACGATTTCTCTGAAATTACAACGTTGGATGCTTGCGAAAGCTTGGTAAAACAACTCATGAGTTTTTTCGCGGGGTATGGCCAGAGCCACGTAAAATAAGATTCATTCGAAAAAAAATTTTTGATGCAATTACGAAACGTTCATTCTCAGAAACGCCGACATTAGTACATTCCATAGTGGAGAACAATAAAACCTCCATTTTTTGCAAAGGAAAAAATAGCCAGGAAAAATGTTTTGTTCTGTTGCTTCAAAGAGAGCGTCGAGTTTCTCTTTTTGCATAAATCTCTTATAAAGAAATTCAGTGTGATGATTGAATTAGACCGATGTCTACAGAATGAGCGAAATTGTGCTGTTCTTCTATATCAGCTGAATCATGGTTTCTCAAAATAAAAGCTCGCACGAAAAATTACTGGTTTATTTCCACATCCAAAATATTAGGTTGTAACAGAATTAGTGCAGATGTTTCACACCTCTTTTTCAAAGTGTTGGTTCAAAACAAAATTCTTAGGAAACCATGCATACCTTCCAAATGCACTCTTCTTCTAGTTTTTTAGGCACGCTTTCTTTTCAGGAGAACTGGGTTCATTTAGAAATTGTGAGCTTTTGAAATTAAGAGACTAAACCTTGAAATTTTTTCTTTTACACTCTTTGCTCTAAATCCACCGCAAAAAATCGTTTTTGCAAACTGGGGTGATGTTTACATGTGATCTGTGCTACAAAATGCACATCGAAGCAAATTTCTCGAAAGTTTTCAGATTGAGAAATTTTGTTTCAAATCCAAACAACCGCTGCTATCATTCTGCGGCGTAATGCGAAGCAATTGCGGAGCTTTCGCCGTGCGCAGAAAGAATAGACATAGGACACATAATAGCAAAAAACCGGGAGATGTTGATCTCTTCGGCAGCGAGAATTCAAAAAACAGCAATCTAGCAAAATTTTTCCGTCTTTACCGTCAACTTTAAGCTGCACAACCGATTATTAACTGCACAGTGAATGAAGTTTGTACCATTCTATTAAATACATTGTATAGTGAGCTATGGTCTCTCAAACTGAAAGTTTTTCAAGAAAATTTTTGGTATTCTTCGGGCTATAAACTTTCTCTCAACGATGAGGTAACGCGCGTTAAATCGCCAAAGCTGATTGCAGTGATTTTTATTGGAAACGGATTGACTGTTTCTGTGGAAAGTTATAGTAATCCAAACTCAAACTTTGGAAGATCTGCATCAATTCTGTTACAACCTAATACATACTCTCTAATAAATGAGTGACCCTATTCTTTACTAAAGATGTATTCTAGAGAAATGTTGCTGTTCACGAGCGTTTGCTACTCAACGGACGCTTTTCTTATTCGAGCTTGAGATTTCTTTCGCTAAGATTTACTCCAAGGAAAACCTCCATTATGCAGAAAGTCAGATTTTCTTCTATTTTGGGAAACAGGCCGTCTCTAATGAGTGCTGACCATTGGTAGAAGTCTATGAAACTGAGTATCGGTTTATTTTCACAAAATAGATGGTCATCCTATGTTGCAAAAGTTATCCGAAAAAATGTATTGCCCTTCATCTCCGGAGACTTATTCAAGCTTCAAACCAGCAATTAGCAATTGAGAGTTTGCCTCGTGTAGAGTGCATCAAAGAACAAGTTGTGCTAAGACTCGTCCTCCTCTAGCGAATCCAGTTTCACTGCTGCTTTGAATTATTTTGCAGACCGCAATGAGGGGTTGGTGGCTAGAATTAGGCAGTGCCTTTCATATCTGACAGATTCCAGAATATCCTAAGCTCACGAATTTGTGAATGGAACGAGAGGAGTACGCTGGAGAAGATAGTCTTTTCAACTAGTGATGAATGTCAGGTTCCAAACAAATCTGCAAAACGTTGAAAAAACGCTTCCAAAACTTTTCCAAGATGTAAGAGCTGACGCTAACGCTATATTGCCAAAATCCAGAACATTCCAAGATGAATGCTCGGCTGCTTGTAGGAGTTCAGCCGCATGACCGTCATTTATAGATTCATCATCGGACGCAAAGTTAACTGCGATCTTCTAAGGTCCGTAATTGCAAGAGATGATCATATCTAATGGAAATGATGATGGGCGCTTTCAAAAAGCACCAGAGATTTCCACAAACATCATTCGCTGCAATGAATCAACTCACAATTAATGTTACGAAAAATCATGGAGTTATGAATCTAGCAAACGGCTTATTAGGTCGATGCAAAAGTAGTTCCTTACGTTTAGACCAACGCAATGAATCGCGACTATGAATTCGCGTAAGCTCTGTCCGAGGCCTTAAACAGTGTTCGACGAGGATTTTTTTCCTTTTTCCAAAACCTATGTTTCCGATGACTTTTTTGAGAAGCGCTGAGATTATGTGCGAAACCCAAAAGCTTTCATTTTCACTATGTTCTCGTTAATTTTCACAATTTTTATCTTACAAGGAGTGGGTCGCGAACTCGAAGTGGTCGATCACTGCAAGATGCATATCATTACGAAGAGCTTGAAACGCTGACGGATCTGCCTTCCTCTTCTGCAGAACTTCTGGGAAAGAAGCTAAAAACTTTTATGTGCATGAAATTTGCAAGGCTGGGAGTAGCCAAAATTATCAAGACCTAAGCACTTTGGACTCAAACCTACTTGGGACATTCTATCCAAGCTTAATTCGATGCTGATCTATTCAAAAGTTATCCTGTAACTCAAGAAGCAATTTAAGCGATTTCCTTTGATTGTAGTCGCTCAAAACCATGCAAATTCCGATGTAAAAAACGCCCATAATTTCCTTCCCAAAAGCGTTCTGAGGTATGAGAGACAGATTTGAAATCAGCATTCCAAGCTCTTCGTGGCAATATGCATCCTGTGATAATCGGCCACTTCGACTCCGAGATCCTCTTTGTTGGTTTTTGAGGAATTTGATTGCCGGCTAATAGAACAAGCTTTTGCAATTTGATGCGATCTTTTGTATTCGAACCGGCATATTTTTGAATAATTAACCATGTTGACGTGACCAAATGTTATATTTGGCCTTTTATAATCTCGCAAAACATGAAATAACAAACAGTTCAGGTATCCTTTGATGCAGTTTCATACTTTGCCATGCATATGAGTTCTGCAGACAGAATCACCGTATTTCCTGACTTGGCTTTGCGCACTGTTGTACCATAGATTTCAAAATCTCCACATCCTGAACAGATAAACGCTCATTTATTGTGATGCTGAAATGAACAATAGATCATAGACCATTATATTCCAAAAAATTCCGCGGAATTTGGTGCAATTACGCGTAAAGCGACGTTTCCAAAGCTCAAGACTTTAGGCAATTATCCAGCAAAATTCTAGAAGGAAACATGGAAAAGTACAGAATTTGCATTACTTTGTGAAAGATTATCTCAAATTTCAAAACAAAAGTTAGACAAGGTCAAAACAAAGGGTAGTAAACTTTGGTAATTATCTCAGGGTTCGTGCAAAAATTTACCTACTATAGTTACTATAGGTACCTACTATAGGTACTATAGTTGCTTGAAAGAGGAAAAAACTTTGCACTGGATACTGCAGAAGTGTTTCTTTACTCTACGGTTTGCGATTCGGTCCGACCGAAAAGAATTACTGCCGCAAAATACATGTTAGTCATGAAAAGAAAGTTTTCGAAGGATAGGTTCTTTCTTTCGAGGGCGTGGCACACCAGTCCCTCAAAATCAGTGTTTCTGGGTAGTTACTAGAATGTATATAATATGTCTGAAAATAAGCCATAACGTGATCAGATGTAATAGCTTACTACAAAATGACAACAGTGGCGGACCGAAGGTGGGGGGGGGGCCCTCCCCGAGAATGGGTCGCGAAAATTTTGAAATTTACTTACATGGGTTATAAAAATGTGCAAGTGACTTGATTATTCTTGTAAATAATTGAAATAATTTTTAAAAATTTTTAAAAATTCAAATTAGCCTTGTAAAAAAAATTTTTTTCGGAGGCATGGCTGACGCCACGAACCCTTTTTCAGGATTTTAGATTTATGGGCCCGCAGAAAATTTGAGAAGCACACCAAAAAATTTTCGGAGTGCGTGGCTAAGCCACGCAAGTTCATTTAGAAAAAATTTTTGCCGCCCTCCCCCCTGAAGGTCGTGAGATTCATCAAATCTTAGATTTCAAATGTTTTCCAACAATGTTTTTAGGTTGCGTTTGTGCTTTTCTCATAAACTGAGTACGATGAGAAAGTGGGTGTTGCTAACAAGGGAATGGTCAGAAGTCGAAGTGGCCAATCCATACAAGCTGCATACCAGTAGATGCAGCATAAAATGCTGACTCTGAATATGTCTTCGTTATCTGCAGAGCGCTTTTGTGGACGAAATCATAAGCTCTTGAAGGTCAATTTTTGCTTCAAAAAATTGTGCGCGTAAAGTGCGATCTTGGCCGTACAAAGCCATTCTCAGCTCAGTGTTGGACCACGTTTCGCAATTTTTGTATGCGGTTTTCTCACAGTAAAGCTGCTCATAACTTCGCCTACAAAGGCGCTCTGCAGATATGGAAGACAGATTTGAAATCAGCATTTTATGGTGCATCGAATGGTCTGCAGCTTGTATGGATTGGCCACTTCGACTTCTGACCATTCCCTTGCAAAGAACATAGCACTACGCTACAACTGCGCTAATTTTTGGATTCTCCTGGATGCTTCTAGTGGGAATCTGTAAAATAAACAAAGACCCTTGTGATACTTCCAATGGAGATCTGTAAAATCGCGCCGACTCACGAACTGTTTCAACCTCCAAGCCTGTCGAACCCTACGCATGCTTTTGCTGCGTACCAACCATTTTTTCGTCTACTTTTCTGATGGCAAGGCACAAATTTGATATTGATGATGGTCTAGCCCTGTCATGGGACTTGTACGATCCAAGAATGCTCTATGGCCAAAGTCAAATATATACGAGCTTTCCTCCGCAGTCTAGCGCGCTCCATCAAGCGACGCACACGCTGCGGAGGCCGCGCAACGCGGTTTCTGCCTTTGATAGCTCGCGTTTCAGACAAAAACTCTCAGCTGTTTTTGGCTCATTAACTGTTTCTTGGTTGCAACTTCAATGGCATTTTGTTAGTTTGTGGTCTTTGTAGGCATAGGCTATGGTCCGTCACAAGAAAAACGAAGAAGAGTATGCAGATGAGAAGAGAACAATAGCTATTGGTGATGTACATAAAAAGGTACCATTATTTTTTTTTGATATATCAATTCCCATGATCCGCTTTAGTTAGTGCACGTGAAAAGCCGTCAGGATCGAGTTAACGAGGCACTCGAAGCGTTGCAATGTTACACGGATAAGGGAGGCACGCTGTCCTTGAAGAATAAAGCCAAATCCCTTGCTCTTTATCAAACACTATTGAAAGCTTGTGAGAGTGAGGGAGAGTATATCAGGTAAGAAGTGCGCCCATGAAGCGGTATCATACATGAATACATTTTTCACAAAATGTGCTCAAGAACTAACGCAAATGATTGAGCAGTTCTAATTTATCTCTCTTCTTATTATATCCACAACCTTAGATTGGGTAAAGCATGAGTTTCATAATTAAATTTATGAGAACATAACTTTCCGTCTATTTATGAGGGCATAACTTTCCGTCTCTTGTATGCCATTAAGGATTCATACTTATTGTCAGGAGGCTGCTGTGCGATATTGAGAGGATAAGAAAGTCGGACTACAAAACGAAAATGAAGACTCACCTCAAGCGCCATGTTCTGATGCAACTCATCAATCTGCAGGTTCGTAGTTGTTTAGCAATTTGACACCATTACGACGGAATTTTCTAATCTCGCTTTGATTTTTTTTCTCATAATCTTTACTTGTTATCTGCTGTCATAGCAGCCCATGGTGCTGTATGCATCTAGAAGAAATGTGCGAAAAAGCTCCATAGGCTTTTATTTTGAAAAACTAACTTTCACGTGGTACTGGGAAATGTGATTTTATTGAGTAGCAACCAGAACTTTTTTAACAGTGTTCTTGAAGGCGCATCTTTGCAGGGAACTACGCTGCCCCTTTGGGTAGGTGGTGTTGATGGCTTTCCGCCACCGTTTGTTGGTGCCATAGCGATTCCCGAGACACTTCCTCTCAAATCCGGTGACTCCGTGGCAGCGTATGTAGATGAGAACTGGATTCTGGCAGAGGTATCACCTAATTACATTCTTATTCTTGCATCATTTATCATCTCTGATTTCAAGATATTGACCGTAAGCCCTACAGGACGATACGACGTGAAGGACGTGGATGATGAACAGAAGGTAATGCTGATCAAGTGTGAAATCGTCGCATGCTTTCAAATTCCATTATAGGTTCGTCTAACAATGGCGCGGCGTCGTCTCATTCCTTTGCCAAAGTGGAGAGCTGATCCTGAAAGAGATGCTCATGCTCTGTTTCCACTGGAAGCTATTGTGCTGGCACTTTATCCTCAGACTACTTGTTTCTATAAAGGTCAGAAATTTTCTAGATGTTCAGCTCTTCTTTCTACTTCAGTTTTTTTTTTATCCTTTGTAATACATGTTTGGTACCGAATTTCAACTTTTTGAGTAGGTCCTTATATAGGTCCCAAGTCATAGGTTGGAGTTATGCGCATCCGCATCTCGACGATTCCGCGTCACGTCTTTCGCTTACTTGTCTGTCTCCAATCTTTCCGCTCACTTCTACAATGCGTTTAAACAGCACGAACCCCTAGCACAAAATTACGGCAGCGTTTTGGCATGATCCTGATTGGGACAGATTGTATGTGTGTATCGGTTTGGCGTTTCTCTGAAGTACTTGACATTCTTTGATGACCATCACCTCAGTTCGTGAAGGATCACAGCTGCACTAAACACTATTTGTTTCGTCTTGAAGGCAGCGTCCAGGTAAATCTGAACCTAGGGGGACGTGGAATATAATTTTGGGGCCCTAACTAAGGCACTGCCCAAGCGGCAGCGCAGGTGACACACTAACGGCCGAGATATACGCCTCCAAACTGGACCCCAGAATCGTATTTCGCATGGATTTACGCAACCCATCAGTTTCGCGCGAGGAACCACGCAAAATTGGGGCGCATGTTAAGAGGCGCGTTTTTTATTGCCACAGGAACACCGCGAAAATGCAATTAATCACGAATTCGTAGATATTTTGATCAGTTTCTTACCGAAAATTGTGCCAAACTTAGCAAACGGTCTCTTCAGATAGCTAGTTGAGGTATGTAGAGCACTTTGTGTCGACTGGTATCTTTGAAGACTTCCAAGGTCAAAATTGGGTTCTTGTATAGGTGAGCTCTAGAGAGAACGCGCCTCTTGACCGTCTCCCGCGAAACTGATGGATTGTGCCATGAATCCATACGAAATACGATAAGGGGTCCAGTTTTGAGGAGAAAATCTCAGCCGTTAGAGCACTACTTGAGCTGCCGGTTGGGCAGATTACTATCCACTATACTTAGGGAAATTCGAAATTTTTCTCGAATATTCGAATATCGAATAATATTCGAAAATCGAAACTTTCGAATATTCGACTTTCGAATATTATTCGAAAATCGGAAATTTCGAATATTTGACTAACGATTATCATTCGAAAACGAAAATTTCGAATCGAATAATATTCGAATATCGAATATCATTCGTTATTCGAATTTCGAATATTATTCGGTTCTCGAATTTTATTCGATTTTCGAATACTGATCGAATAATTTACGTCATTGAGACGCCTATGAAAGGCCAATACATCCAAGAATAGATTCTTTCATGTAAGTGTTAAGAATGGATGCTTTCTTATGTTACAATTTACGACGGAAAAACGGATTAATCGTGACGTGAAGAGACTTAGGAATCTAAAAGCTACTCCTGTGACGGTTGTGAAGAGATTTTTCGTACTTCAAAGAAGTTATATACCCTCACTGAGAGTTGCGATTAGATATGTGGTCCCAGCAGTATGTAGATCTGTAGGCTGACATCAACTCAAAGTATGGGGCGATTTATCAATCGCTTTTCACTGTTGTAAAATTACCGTAAGATTGGAGCGGGTTTCGAAACATCAAGAGCCATTTCCCCAAGAAAAAGAATCAAAAGGGCCGAAAGTATTGCATTAGACTTCTGAAGACACTCACTTTATGTAGAATGTGCACTCAATCGTAATGCTTTTTTCAAAACTTACGCCAGGTACACCGTAACAAGTGTTTTTCAACTTTCGAAAATGTGATTCGTTCGCATTCCATTTCATTCCATTCGCAAAGTTTGAAAACGCGTGCATAGTAAAATTAGCATACGTAAAAACACTGCTGCACAGATTTTAGACCTTTTTTGGGGTTTTGGATGTCTTATTTTGCAATTGGTCTATATGCTGGAATTTCCTGCCGTGATAACACACAATAAGAAAAACATGGGTGATTCGCTTTCTGCTGTATTTATAAGCTGAAGCCATCCCTACTGGATCCCAGAAATTGGCAAAAGACTAGAGGTATTAGCGATCAAACGGTGTGTAGATACTTTTAAGACACCCCGTATACGCTATGCATATCGAATTTTCGAATATCGGTGCTCAACGAATATTCGAATATTTGATGGACATCGAATGATCGAATGAATGACCCTCGAATATTCGACTATCGAATAATATTCGAAAGTTAAGATTTTCGAATATTCGACTTTCGAATAATATTCGAAAATGAAGATTTTCGAATATTCGACTAATGAATATATTCGAAAACTGAAAATTTCGAATATTCGACTTTCGAATTTTATTCAAAATCTCAGATTTTCGAATATTCGACTTTTCGAATCATTCGCATTCGAATGATTTATTCGAATGATCGAATAATTATTCGATTCGGTCCCAAGTATACAATCCACGTGAGATCCCCCCCCCCCCCCCGCCCCCCATATGCCCGATTTGCCTGGAAGCTGCCTTTAAAGGGTATCAAGTTGTTAAAAGTGTAACATGAATCATTTGCTTTGATATTTTCTAAGGTTCACAATGAGGTCAATACGCTTGCTATATGAGCTAAATTTCAGGTGTTGTGCAGCGGGTTCCACAGGTCGCCACTGACGACTATCTGGTAACATTCGAAGATCCCTCCTACAGTACAGGTTACTCCCCAGCACTACCCATACCGCAAAGATACGTAGTACCTTACAAGGAAATAAAAGGAAAAAACAAAGGCCGAACCGTTGCCTCTGTATGATTTATACTTCTATTCATTACTAATAATGTATATGGTATATATGTAGTGTAATGTTGTATGTACAAAGATGTTATAATGTCGTGCATAGTGCAATCTCCTTGAAATAAATTATTTGTCTATGCATCCTCCTATCATCTCTACAGAATTGCAAGCTACATCTGCGCGGTTCCGGGTTTCTTTTCCTTATCGAGCCGCAGTCGTGTTTTCAGCTTCTTCAGATTAGCGTTATCCTCCACTAGTCGTTCCAGCCACAAAGAAGCCGTCTCGTTATCACTTCTGAAACTCGCTGTATAGCAGTAGATTTAGCGAAGTGAATTATACCTATATAAGGCTCCCATCGCAAGAATCGTCTCATTTTTTTGCTCATGAACTGATCGCTTTCGTTCATGTCTTTCTCGCTTCCACTCAGAAAACCAATTCGAAAAGTCCTCCTCGAACTGAAGAAAGGCGTTTGAACTCTGCTTTATTTGGGAAAAGAAACAAACCTCTTCTTCTTTGAAGTCGTCCGTTTTGGGATACGTAGGCGCGCTTGTCATTACTATGTATTTTACTACATGCTCCATGACGTACACATCGAAGGGACCATCTATGAATACCTATAAGAAACAACGTGAAGAGCTTGCAACTATTTGTATGACTGTTAGATTCGTGCTAACCTCAGAATCTTCGCTGAGATTTCGTATAAGATTTTTCTGCGTCAGGCTTTGCGCAGTTGCGAACCAGGGCTGTTCTTGTGCTGTAGATGGACCTAACTTAAAATATTGCTAAATAATGGACAAGAAAAATAAGTTACTAGTTTCTGAACAAAATGATGGGCTGAGAAGATATTGGCGGTTACTTACTCTGGTCAATGATATCTCTGTACCGGGATCTCTACTCATCATTTTTAGAGCAACTCCTGCGAGTTCCGCAGGTGACAGCGCTTTTCCTGCAAGCATGCGAATTTATTACTATATATCAATGGTTTTATTTTCGGACGGACTACCAAGCACAGTTATATCTGTAAAGCAAAAGTACATTTCCATAAGCCTTATTCTGAAGCTCCCCGGCACACCGTATCGGAAAATTGGCTCATATACTGTAGTAAATGTAAATAATATCACAAGGGCCTTATGGAGCTCATAAACAGCAAAAATGACCCAGTGTTATTGTATTAACAGAAAAACCAGCTGAAAACTCGTCTTCCGAAAAAACTGTGACGCTGATCGATAAATGTGCCATGAGCATTGTTCAATTATTTTTGCAAGTGTAACCGCAACCACAATCAACATTTAAAAACCGCCAAATGCCACTTACCTTCCACACTTCTACGATCCAAGTGCTTGTTGGAATACTTTAGTTTGGGCATCCAATAAAGCATCCTTTTAACCTGTGAAAAAATGGCAAATTATTCTGGAAAACAATGAATATTTGAATTAAACCTTTTTCGTAGCAAAGTTCCACTCGCCAAAGGCATTCACAACAATATCGTGAATCTCCTTGTCCGGTTGAACACCTTAAAATGGGGTATTTCCGTTGACGAAGGAACTAGCATACTATACGAGTGATACAAAAGCACGCAAGCTTCAACTGGTAAGCTCTTAACATATAAGGCATAAAACCCACACACCGTTCCACTCCATCTCGTCAAGTACTTTAACGCAGCAATTCTGCTGCATGGGGTAGTGCAGAAATATCCTCTGAAAGTTACTTCAAGAAAAAAAAAGAGTGGGTAAGCATCAAACACCAACCCTACCTGAAATGTGTTCTGAGGAATCATTTTGCCCTTGGGAAAAACATCCAATAAAGCTTTGTAGACATCCAGGTCTTTATGGATACCGAATTCCTTGACATATTTCAAAGCAGTATTAATGAACTCTACATGCCCTCGCGGTCTTCTCTCCTTGAAAGCAGCTAAAATTCGTGACACATTGTACATAACAAATGTGGCTTAAACCTCACCTATAGCCGCAAGAAAGGTTTCTTTATTTCGTTTGACTTTGGGAACAGATTGGAAATGTTGGTCAATGTGAACCAAATCTGTCGGCTCGCTTTTGGCTGACGATGCTGAGCTTGCGAAAGCCGATGAGCATTCAAAAGCTTGTGGTGCTCGCAACAGCAGTCGCCCAATTCCTCTCGCGACATGCATTTCCCGAAGCACTGCGACCTCAATCTACAGAAAAAGTAGCAACATTCAAATTATTGAAAGGGTAAGCACAATGCTATTTCAAAGCAGATCTATATAAGATGCAGTCATTGGAAAAAGGTGGAATTTAAAATTAATAAAGACTGAACAGCCATTCATTGAAGTCAAAATTTCTAAAAATGTTGCGAAAATTTACATCATACCTATGCTTTTTTCCTTGTGCACCACTTATGCTCCTCACCAAGACGAACGCTGTAAAATTCTATCGATACAATCACAAGCAAAACCGATCTGCGCTTACTTTTTGAAATGACGACCCACTAGTTGAGCATTCCAGAGATACGCAAGACTAGTCAAAAAGTGAAATTACAGGGCTAGCGTGTTTGTTTCCAGGCTAATCCCTCGATAATTTCCTTAAAATGCGCAAGAGTGCTAAGACTTTGTACCAGTTTGGACTAGTATGTGAATAATAAAATGATGCTACTCTGTGATGTGACTTTTAAAAGCAAAGCTTCAAACGGTACACGTGCATGGAGCAAACGAGCGCGTCCTAGCCCGCAGCAGGAGTTGACGCATTCTCCGCTACAGACTACAGTAGCACTACACGCATTACGAATCAACACCTAAATCCACTCACTTTCCATACACTAGCAATTTTTGATGCGTGTTGAAAATAGGCTTGCAAAAGTGGTTAAAAGTTAAAATCTTCTGTTTAATGTGCTTTTGGAGCTTTTTCTTGTTTTTATCTTAGAAGTAACAGTCTCATGTATTGTCATTGTTCAGTAGGTAGCCGATGCTCGTTTCCTCTTGCATTCTTGATTCTTCTGCAATTATCAGTTTCTCTTCAGGGTTTAACATGCCAACCAAGGCTTTGGGAGAGACTCTGAAGGAGTACATGGTTGTCGGTCGCAAACTTCCGACCGAGAAAGAGCCGGTGACGCCAATATGGAAGATGCAAATTTTCGCTTCTAATCACGTTATTGCCAAGTCGCGTTTCTGGTATTTCGTTTCTATGCTTCGTCGTGTGAAGAAGGCTAACGGAGAAATTCTATCATGCAAACAGGTAGAAAAATTAAAAATACCAGGTTTGAAAAGTTTCGGAAAAGTTTTCTGCTTTTAGATCTTTCCCGATAAGGTTGCCGGTTCAGTCAAGAACTATGGTGTATGGTTGAAGTATGATTCTCGTACTGGACATCACAACATGTACAGGGAATACCGTGACGTGACTGTTGCTGGAGCCGTAACCCAGGCCTACCGTGATATGGGAGCTCGTCACCGTGCCCAAGCTGATCGCATCCACATCTTGAAGGTGCAAGCTGTCAAGGCGGCCGACACCAAGAGAGCCGGAATCAAGATGTTCCACGACTCCAAGATCAAGTTCCCTCTTCCTCACCGTGTCAGCAAGAGAAGAAATGTGTCTCAGTTCACCACAAAACGCCCAGTCACTCATTTCGCGTAATGTGGTTTTGTTGTTGTTATTTTTAAAGATAAATTGTTGCTATTTGAGAGTTTGTTGAATAACAGGAGCATCCCATCATTCCTGGCAAGAAAACTTGCTATTTTTTGCCCGCGTTTCTCCTCTGCGTCCCTTATTTTTTTCGTGCCGCCCGTGGCCACGCCCATTCGTCTCGCCGTCCCCAAATGTGCCCTTTGCAACTTTCATCATTCGCCGTTGTGCTGCGTGTGGTCTTCTGACCAGACATATGGATTACTTCTCTCGTGTAGTACCATTACTTACATTCACAACCACTCTACAACTTCACGTTAATGGTTTCGTTTTTATTACCTTTTTAATGGTTAGTCCTTATTTCAAGCTATGGCTGCCATTCCTGAGGGTGACTACGAAAAAGGAAAGAAAGTCTTCAAACAAAGGTGCCTCCAATGTCACGTTGTGGACTCTAAGGCCACAAAGACAGGACCAACTCTTCACGGACTAATTGGTCGCAAATCCGGAACTGTTGATGGTTTTGATTATTCGGCTGCCAATAAGAATAAGGTGAGCTGGAGTTGCTCAGCCTTCATTGTTCGTTCTATATCGCTTTCATTTAGGGGGTAGTTTGGACACGTGAAACCCTTTTCGAATATCTGCTGAATCCTAAGAAGTATATTCCTGGCACGAAGATGGTTTTCGCTGGTCTGAAGAAAGCCGATGAACGAGCAGACTTGATAAAATACCTCGAGGTTGAATCTGCTAAACCGATTTGATTGATGGTGCTATTATAAATGTTATATTAGAATTAGTGAAGAGATTTAATATGTATTGCGCCTATGTTGTTTTATTTTTGACTACCTCCGGTGATATTTTGATCAGTTAGGGAATTGGTAAAGTTTCCGTCCAATTTTTGTTTTCTACCACACCAGTTACTAATCCATATGTAATTGAACATGTAAAAAGTAATATTTATGAATCAAACAATATCAGTAATCAACTCCATAACTCCCTTGATAAAAACAGAACAAACGAGTCAGAATGTAATAATGACGTCATCACAATAGTACATCAAATGAATCAATGTTTGTGAGGCTTCCCACTACCTAGCGGCTGTCCAATGTCCTTGCCACGCAGTTTCACCTGCAATCAATGTCTACTTGAAAGTGTAATTTTTCTAAAAGGTCAGGAACCTAACATTAGAAGTGATCATGAGGGTTAACGGTTTTGTTTCATCGCACTATGTCACGTGAACGGTGGCTACCGTTGTTAACGCATAACACAGAAGTAGCCACCGGCGTTTGTCCAGAATTGGGTCTCACGGGGAAAAATTTAAAGCAACGAGCTTCTTAAATAGAAAGTCTCAGTTGTAGAAAGACACTTACCCCCAAAGCACGTTCCATCTTCGCCAATATCTGTTGATTGGGAACAGCCTTTCCATTTTCATATTCAACGACAACATGTTGCTTTTCATTAATAGCCTGCAAGAAAATTATATCAACAATATTGGTTTCAAAGGCAAAATTAACAGTCACATAATAAGAGTTTTTCCGATATTTTTCTCAATACACAATGAGAGGATAGAGTGTCAAATTTGTACCCAATAATTTGCTTGTCAAAGAACGACGATCTCGGACTTATTTGCTCTTCATTTGTAAGTGCCTATCTTTTCTGAGATAAACAGCAAATTGAATAGACAGATTCAGCAATTTGTGCACTGCCAAAAAAAGGAGAATGTGGCTTATAGTCATCTACCCTATTAGGTCTAAATTTCGCTGCCTCTGCTTTTCCTTCACCACTTTTACATCTATGAAATCACCTACGTTGAAACTGAAAGAGTTTCGGCTATTCGCTGGAGGGAATTCAATTATTGAGTCTTTATGGAGTTACTAGTGAACCACTAATCTAAAGGTGCTATTTGCAAGAGCGTTCGCTAGGGACCGCCACGCGGTTTCCCGCTATTCGCACATTTTGAATTGGGCTTATGATTCTTTATATATTAGATCTAGGCATCTCAACAACCTTCAGCGGTTCATTTATTCTCTTGATTTTTGAGTGATTGTGAGATATACGCAATTATAACCTACAGTGGAAAGGTCCTTCTGAGTCCATTCCTTAGCCTGACGTGCCTGCTGCATAGCTTTGCCTAGTGACAGACTCACTCGTTCATGATGCAATTCTTCCGTCTCCTCATCAAGTCTGTGAGTAAAATTAAAATGTGTAAACAGACAGTGAGCCTGGAAACACTAAATACTACCTAAGGGTATTTTTGTTGGCAGTATGCTGTCGATTTCCACCGGCCATCATCTTTTTCTGTGTATCGACAGCAGTACCACTGCGAATTGCAGCATTGAGAGCCTGGAATGGGGGCGTGACGAATAATTACTATAAGCGTTACAAAGTGATGTGCTGAATCAAATGCAGCTGTAGATTTAAAGGAACCTCATTCATTCCTTGATCGCAGGGGTCATGTAAATATCACGAACATAGCCATTTGGAAGAAATTTGGACATTCTAACCATCTCAATGTTCTGGCAAAAAAACTTAGGAAAAAGTTGATCAACCCACTTTACGAGGTTCAGTTCAGCTATACAGTGACGAGTTGTAAGTGGCCCGAAAGAAGATGTGATGAAGATAAAACATCAAACTGGATGCGAAAAAAGAAAGCCACTTTGGCTCAAAACGGTATAAAATCACACGCTGATTGTGAACACAGCATCGAGGAGCCTTCTTTACATTGCCTCTCTCTACACAACACAAAATAGATTTAAAACAATTTTCAATCCCATTTGATTTCCAACGAATGAGAAACTTTGACATGAGCTGTTGTCTGCCAACGAACTCCACTAGAAATCTACTTGGTCGAAAAAAATCTCAGTGTGTTTAGGTAGTCATACAAAAGTTTGAATGAACCTAAGAACTTCTATAGAGATTTACACAACGATGCGACATTACATATCACTACCATATGCGATATCGCACACATGACATTGCTAAAAAAGAAAAAAGCAGCTACAGTCGAGTAGATTTTCCGCTTAATATAGTGTGCTTGCACTGATGGTGAAATGCGGTAAAACTTGCGCGTAAAGAAATAGCTACGCCTGTGACGCCGGCCATTTGCGCGCGCAAAATGTTGGCATTACTGACGTGGCTACTTGTTCACGCGCAAATTTTACCGCATTTAACCTTCAGTGCAAGCACACTATATTAAGCGGAAAATCTACTCGACTGTAAAAGACATAGAAAGCATAAATGAGGCTGATAGGCTTCACGCCAATTCAGACCGAAAAATTACGCGACCGTACCAAGTGATTTAGGAATCGGATATTTGAATACAGACGCTCAGCATAGACTTTGACTCTCTAGCGCGATGTGAAAGCGTCGATGATTATCTTTCTTTGAAGATATTTCAGTAAGTTATCAGCCCAATACCACAGACGTGCTATTCAGAAAACATACCCCAAAACTTTCCCATGGTCAGACTTCGCTAGGATTTGAATACGGTCACCTTATACCATCTACAAAAGCGAACTACTTCGTACAAGAACTTTTGAGACATGGACTACGGAACTCGCTGATTTGCGCGGAGAGGTGCGTTTGGTATGCCAGCACGGATACACTTCCTCCCCACAGTAATGGATCTCTGTGCCGTATTGTAGGCATACGGTGGTTAACAATATAAGCCTACCGTAACAGAATAGGCTGATTATATGAGATCAGAAACGCATCTAACAAGTAAGTTGTATAGTAAGGTGCTTTGTAACGAAATATATGACAATCATGTCCACAAATTAGGTAATCTTCGGTGTAAATTTTCAACGGAAATCACACTTCTGACTAGCAGCTATTGCAAAGTGATATAGAGTAAATCTCAAATCTCAATCGCATGACACTCGTAAGTACTGTACGATAAACAATCTTCAAAAGGCGTGCAAAACTTCATCAAGGTGATGCCTATGACGACTTACAGAATTGGATTTCAGGGTTTTATTCACCGGTCCTCGTTTGGTAAGGATCGTCACCGAGTCTGGATCGGTATCAGATTGGGGGCATCCCATCTTAGACATTGTGATTCTAAAAAAGAACACTGAGTGGAAATTGTATTGCCAACATTCCACAAAAGTCCATAAAAGTGAACTTTGCAAAGGAGTGAATGATTAGAAAAAATTTCCACGGTATTTAGAAACAAGTATCATTCAGACGATGGTAAGTGCGATACAAGAGACAAAGAAGGCATCAGAAATCGCAGCGAATGAGACAAGGCAAATTACTGTTTTCCATATACAAACTCATTGTAGTCGTATCGGTGCTACATGCGAAAAACCATACAAAATCGTTCTAAAGAGAAATGATGCAAGTCAATGCTACCAACCAAACGCATCGATCGTCATGAAACAGAAGTCATGTGCATAGCACTTTCACTTTCGGCGCCCCAATTATCTCCAATCTACTTAATAGTGCATGGAATTAGATTTGGAGTTTATTTGCACACATGAGTTTTTGAGATAGTGTGATTCATTGTTCCAAAAGGCAAACAAACAATCCCCAAAAGGAAAAAAGAATGTAGTGGACAGACGGCTGTTGGTCATCGCAGAGTGCATGAAAAAATTCTGGCCGTGGCGCGAAACGAGGCCGTGGAGCGCAGCCTGTCACTTCCACGTCCATCCATTCTCAATTCGATCATCGTTGCAAATGCTGTGGAGCTCAGCTATTCTGTTCTTGAGACCGTCATTCTTTTGTGACATATTGTTCGCGGTTAATTTTGTCGCTTCAATGCGAACTGTTCTGGTCTGCTTTGAACTGTAAGCGGCACAGACCGCTTATAAAGAAATCTCTCTGTAGTGTTACTTTTTTGAGACCTTTTGGATGTTTTTGTTAACTTTGTCGTGGCTCGATCCCAAGTGTTTAGAGCTCGTATTTTTCATGTAGTATCGCAAAGATGATCCACAGAGTCGTTTAGATATGCAAATAGAGTCTAGTACTACTACTCTTTTCCGCTTTTCCATGCAAAACTTTATTTATCTCATCTATCTATCATTCATAGGGAACTCCCTAGGAAGAACAAGAGCAAGCACAACATCAAAAACAGAAATCATACAACAACAAAGCTTCGGACAAATCGGTGTCAAACCCAGCAGCATAACATTTCTCACTTTACGTTGTAGCAGTAGAAAAGGGCAGGACCTTTGCTTGTAACTAATCCATGTAAACTCCTTTTCTCATGTTTTATAGAGTTTCCACCATCGAAACGGATTACGTCATAATGCGAAACGGATCACGTCATTATGATTTGATAATCTGCTATTGCTAGAATTTTAATCAGCAAGAAAGTTTTACCGATGTCACCAGCAACATCTGTCAGTGTTGAACGATGAAAGATCACTCGTAGCCTCATTCTCCTGTATGCCATGATGCACCGCTTGCTACGGTTACTAATAAAAACATACAACACTCCAGTCACCCCATTTGGCAAAATTTTGATTTGATAAAGTAGAGAGGCACCGGCCGCAATGGCCCAAGTTCGCTGCAAGAGATAATTTCTGAGGCGAGCAATTCGCTCCCGAAGAGGCGACGGTCAAGAGATTATCCGGCTGTCACTAACTCAAAACTCCAAAAACACAAATTCAACTCGTGCATATCTCGATCGATATTTCTCCTTCAAAAATTCAAATGCTTCTAGAATGTTATAGAATTTATTATGTGTTATCTCGTGTCCATCTGGCGAGAAAAATCGCGTCTCTTGACTGTCTTCCCTCCCAAAGCTGGACGCGTACCAGATCCACTCATTGACTGGGCCAGAGTCCGAATTTGGTTTGCAAAATGTCGCGAAGAACGTCTCATAGTGAAAGGAAGATTTTTTCTCTACATCTTTTTTCTCTACATCTTTTTCTCTACTAGAAACCATTATCCGTCGGAATCCGGCGCTGACCTTAGCTGCAGTATATAGCTAAAGCGACCACTTTGTCTATGAATCTTACTTATTACATTATGAATCTTACTTACCACATCATTAGGTCATCCTGAAACTATAAATTCTCTTGTTCACTCTCTATCATGCCATGGTACTGGAAATTTTCCTCATCTTGAATACTCTCTCAATATACCATAACGTGCAAATACTAAGAAACTGATGTTTCTTTAGAATATCTCATGAATTTATCATTATCGAGATATCCCAATAACTTTTCGCCAGAATATAAAAGGGTTCTATTTGATGAAGTTAGAAGAACCCCTGCTTCACAAAACGTGTACATTGTTACAGAGAAATGAAGTCATCCTTACCGATGACAGTCTTGTTTTAAAATCCTTAACAACAAAAAGATTTCGTAAGTGATACTTCTTCGTCATCCATCAACATCAGTTGTTAGCAAACTCAGGTCCCCATTCATTACTTGAATATGGATAGCGAAATGATTAGTTATATATACGACCCAGAGGATAAACAACACATCATATCAAATGCAGGACTACTTTATCATCTGATAAGTAAGATCAATTAAAAAGTAGGAGGCAGCCGGGTCCTCTTTTATGGTCGCGTTAGCTATATACTGTAGCTAAGGTCAGCGCCGGATTCCGACGGATAATGGTAGATACATTTCTATCCATTAATTGCCGATCTCGAGCTTGGTACTTTCCGATCATTCTATCTTCCTATCGCAGCAAATTAAGCTTAAATATGGGGACGTACGGTATATGCCCAACTTCCATCGGCTGCGAGATAACGTGCTCCAAACAAACAGAGCCCCAAATCTTGTTAGAAGACCTTATTTTCAGCGGTGTTTTCTTCAGACACACTACCATAAAGAAACTATAAAACTTCTTACTAGTTACAGTGTTACTTTTCCCTATAAACTTCAAAATCGCTAAAGTCATATGGATTAAGGTTATTTTTCCCGGCGATTCCATGTTGTATCATTATAATGATATCGACTTTGGTATCTAGCTCATTTCTACACATTTGCGCTAGGTGCACAGTCTAGATTCAAGATTAGTGCAGCAGGGAAGTTGACTTTGTGATTTACTTGGATACGTCTTGAATAATGCCTTGCGTGATCATGTTCTTAGGAAACCTACTGCGAAAAATGTTTCGATCATTCCAAGAATGACATTGCGCACCGCACAGAAAATCTTTGGGGAGAATAAAAAGGTAAAGAAGTACATGCTTACTGAACTGTAAGGCATGCATCAGCTGTTGGATCAAATTCATCTCAAATCGAAACAAATAATACAATTTTGGGGCAGAAACGCTTCTCCTCGGAATACCACAAACGGTGGCGGAACACACTCTACTGAAGATATTGGGAACGACAAAAATCAAGAGTAGTGAACGAACAGTTTGTTTTGGAATTAACACACATCAACACCGGCTAAATTTTTTGGGCAAATCCGCGACTTCGGCTTTACTCATGCTTTATCTGAGTGAGAAGAAGAAGATAGTAGAATAGAGGGAATTAACAAAAAGATAAGTCTATGTGACTACCTTACGTAACTATGCAAGAAAAGAAATCGCAATTAGTTCATCTCAATTCCGCATAAAAATAGCCCCAGTAACATAAAAGTCAACTAAAAAAGCAATTTTGAAGTTTCTAGACGGAAGAGAGATGCTGCACCGGGGAAAATTTTGAGATTTCACTCTTGATAGTGTGTCTGAAGAAAATACGTCGAAAATAAGGTCTTTAAACAAGATTAGGGCTCTGTTTGTTTGTAGCACGTTATCTCGCAGCCGATGGAAGTTGGGCATATACCGTACGTCAAATATGGGTGTGCGGTGCTGCGCAGTCTACATCGTGCAGTTCGCGACGGGGAAACGAGATAGCAGAGCTAGTCAATCATTTGAAAATTTGCAACCGTAATATCGGTAAATTGTGGCTGAATCCAGATGGCCAGCGATAAAGCCGTGAAAATAAAAGATTTCTCTTGAATATTTTCACCGAGATTTATATTGAATTTCTAGACGTAGCTGTCCGATTCACCCTTCTACCCAAATTAGTTTTGTTTTTATTCATGAGCTTGCTATGACGAGCTTGGTCTCAAGCTGTTTGATATTTTTTGAGGAACCACAGCGAACATATGTGACAAGACATCCATATGAAGTTGATAAGGCCAGTCTTACTTCATATAAGCGGAGTTTGTTTTGTTTTCATTTTTTTACACCTTGTTTTGTTTACATTTGCTTGATCACCTCCGATACGGGTATGTTATTCTCCTCTCAAATCCTTGTTATGTTGTTCTCTTTATTACTGCTCTTTTCTTTCTTTTCTGGTGTTTACGTTCGGCCCACCTCGCTGTTACTGTTTCCTTTGTCTTTCCACCTTTCTCTTTGGCTGAATAAACATATACATAAATATAGACATAAACCCTGTTTCTCATGCAATTGCAATTCTAGAGGATCTTCCAGTCTTATACCCTTGGATGACTTTTTTTTATAGAAGTCCATTCTGGCAAAGTGTTCTCTTGTGAATTTTGACGTGGAAGAAATCGTAAAATACTACTTTTTTGTAGAATAGGTAAACGGCATGGCCGTGGACGCATTGGTGGAGTCGATCACCACCTATTGCAGTCGACCTATTTGGGCTCATCTCTATGCAACTCCTTTTGCAGGTAAGCTATTCAATGAACTATATCTGATTTCAATTTCTAGTCTTCGTGTTATTTTCTATACCATGAAACATCCAACTTTAGTGTTGTATGCTAGCTGGTTCTATATCTGGTCATCAGTATACGGATATGAGGAGTACTATGAGCTCGGACTTATCGGTGCTGCTATCATAGGGCTTGTTCAAGCATTAGTGATCCTGTTCAGCCATTGGTTTGTCGGAGTGAAATGCGCTTTATCATGCGTCTATGTAAGTTGAATCTTGGTACCATTTATTCGCTGTGTAACTGTTTCGTTACAGGAGAAAGATCCTCACAAGGCTACATTGGTCAAGGTAGTGCCTACTCCCAACAATGGCTGGGCGGAGCTCGTACCCCTTCGGAGGTCTAGGGTGATTGGTCCGCTTTACTTGTAGTTCATTTTCATGGCTTATTTTCTTGCTGCAGAGAGCTGGATCTACCAAAGTGTGGTTTGAATTCCAAAAGATTCATTACACTTTGGACCCGGAGACGAACACCTTCAGCACCGTTGTTTTTGACTCTCATCGACCAATGAAATACTACCAACAGTCGCGCGGTGTGGAGAACGACGAGCAGTTAGAAGAGACGAAGTATCTTTATGGAGACAATAAGTGAGTTCTTCTTCCAAAATTGTAAATTTTCTGACTTTTGAGGAAATACACAGCTTTTTCTAATTATTCAAGTATCTTTACTTCTCAGAACGGAAATGGTCATACCGCAGTTCTGGGACCTGTTTAAGGAGCGGGCAACTGCACCATTCTTTGTGTTCCAGGTAACAAGTTCAGGTCCAATTTTGAGAAATGTCATTTTCTTTTTCCTACTCTAGGTGTTCTGTGTTGGACTGTGGTGCTTAGAAGATATGTGGTACTATTCGCTTTTTACTCTCTTCATGTTGATGACCTTTGAAGCAACACTGGTGAAAGCTCAGTTGAAGAATATGCAGGAAATACGCAACATGGGAAACAAAGCATTTATGATACAGGTTCGATGACTGGCTTTCTGCGCCGAACCCTATTTATCTGCGTTACTTTAGGTCTACAGAAATCACAAGTGGATGAAGATAAAGACTGATGAATTGGTATCTGGAGATATAGTATCTATTGGTAAACAAAAAATATTCTATGTTCTTGCATTGCAATTCAATATTTTCAAGGGCGTTCTTCGGATGAGCAAGCTGTGCCCTGTGACATGATCTTGCTGCGAGGCCCATGTATTGTTGATGAGTCTATGCTTACTGGAGAATCTGTGCCCCAGATGAAGGTTGATTGCTTGAGGCATACCTGTTGTAGATCGAGTCTGTATAATTCATGTCAGTCATATACCTGCTTTGTAGGAACCTATCGAAGACATTGAAAAGGATAGGGTCTTCGACATTGATGCCGATAGTCGTCTTCATGTGGTATTTGGAGGAACGAAAATCGTGCAGCATACTCCGCCAGGTTAGTTTTTTATTTGAGCTTGCTATTGAATCATTTATATATTTCTCTGCATTGTTTGTGTACTGGCGTTATGCCGTGCTTTTTGGAACCCTATGTCATGAAAGCTGCTCCGCTTTATCAAACCGATAGCCATTATTGTTTAGCACTTACCATATTGTCGATCACTTTTTACAGTAGCAAGAAACTGTTTACAAGGAAGAGTTCCAAAGTCAGCTCGGTCAACCTGTAGGGGACATATATCACCGTGACGGACTGGACACGCTGATTCCAAGTCTGCTTTCCTTTTTTGCGGAACAACTCTCCGAAAGAAGTTATGAGCTATCGAAAGTCTAAATTTGTCATGCTTGAAGTGGCATAAAATTAGCTGAAAGCTCTAAAGCATTACCTAACGGATTTGCTGTATTCCGTCCTTGTAGTCAGTATAGTTGTTACAACACTGAAACCCACTTTCAGGTGTTATTGTACAGCTTTCGCCAATTTTATGCCACTTATAACTCGGCATATTTGGACTTTCAAACGCTCATAACTTCTTTCGGAGAGTTGCTCCGCAGAAAAGAAAAGCATATCCGAAATCAGCGTTCCAAGCCCGTTACGTTGATATATGACTCATCCGAGTTGGCCGAGCTGACTCGGGAACTCCTCCTTTTCGACGAGGCTTTTCTGGAAATGTGCTAAAAAGATGATTTCATGTCAGATTATATCATAGAATAACATTGTTGTGATTTTGGAGTCTTACGATTCTTCCTCTTTCATTCTAAATTCTTTCGCTGCATTCCGGTTTTTAGCTAAGGGTGTGGAAGGTCTCAAAGGCCCTGACAACGGATGCATCTGCTATGTTCTCAGAACTGGATTCAATACCAGTCAGGGAAAGCTACTCAGGTTCGTTGTTGTTTGACATAGCCTACATCCATTTCTCACCTTTATTTTTTTACACAGGACTATAATGTTTGGTGTGAAAAGAGTCACAGCGAATAACTTGGAAACTTTCTGTTTCATTTTGTTTTTGCTCATATTCGCTGTTGCTGCTGCTGCATATCTATGGATAGTAGGTCCGAATTTTTTTCGTAGGCGGAGACAAGCTGACTTCATCACTTTTTTTTCACTGTAGGCAGCCGAGATGAATCGCGCAATAAATACAAGCTCTTCTTGGAATGTACTCTCATTCTTACCAGCGTCATCCCTCCCGAATTGCCTATCGAGCTTTCGCTTGCCGTTAATACATCTCTAATTGCCCTGCAAAAATTGGGTGAGTTAACACCTTATAGTTACCGTCTACTGGAAAGGATAAGATTGCAGGAGTGTTTTGTACGGAACCATTTCGGATTCCATTTGCTGGGAAAATTGATATATGCTGTTTTGACAAGACTGGGACACTCACCACTGACAATCTGGTCGTTGAAGGGATTGCTTTCAGGTGAGGCTCGCTGTGAGAGAGGTATGAGTATGATATATCTGTAATTTAGTACCGATGAGGAAAAAGGACTCGTCAAAAGTGTCTCTGATGTTCCCCTGGAATCTATACAAGTTCGTTTTTGAGTTTTGATGTTATTTAGGCTTTTGTTCATTAGGATATATCACTTAGAATGGCTTATGATTAAATATTCGAAGGAGACAAAAATTAACAGGTTACGATTCCATGCCACTTCCTGCGTTTTCTCTCAAGAAAAAAGAGGAAAAAGCATAATAAAGTAGTTACATGATGATCTTGCGGTTCTAGTGTTCTAGTGACGATATCCATCCTGTTCTTGATCACAATCTATCACCAGCTGTCAATTTCAGGTGTTAGCCTGCTGCCACAGCTTGGTACGCTTTGACGAGGACCTCGTAGGAGATCCTTTGGAGAAAGCTTGTCTTACATGGTGTGACTGGTCCCTTACAAAAGGTGAATACGTCATATCTCGAGTGTGTTGCTTTTTTCATACTTCACTTTATACAGGTGATGCTGTGCTTCCCCCGAAAGGGTCGAAACTGACCGGTTTGAAAATCTTCCATCGATATCATTTTTCATCTGCTATGAAGAGAATGACCGTGGTTGCTGGCTACCAACTGCCAGGCTTCCAGGAACCGAAAATGATTGTTGCAGTGAAGGGGGCACCTGAGACTCTCAGGTCGATGGTTGGTTGGAGTAACAATTTCGGGATGCTCATAATTTCCGGAGATTTAGTACGAAAATGTTCCAAAAGACTACGACGAAGTTTATACCAACTTAACAAGACAAGGAGCGCGTGTTCTTGCTATGGGAATTAAAGAACTCCATGAGACTAGACTAGGAGAGGTACTTGGCTATTATTGAAGAAACTCACAATACTTTCTATATTATCTTTTTCTAGCTGAGGGACACCAAAAGGGAGACTTTGGAGAAGAATTTGCGGTTTGCTGGTTTTGTTGTCATTTCCTGCCCTCTGAAGCCAGATACCAAAGCAATGATCAAAGAAATTATTGAAAGTTCGCACAAGGTGAGTGAATTTGATTTGCATGGAATTTCGCTAAATCTTATTTGTAGGTTGTGATGGTTACTGGCGACAATCCACTGACAGCATGCAACGTTGCAAGGGTCCTCAAATTTATCCGAAAGAAGGTCCCCACATTGGTATTGGATGAGCCTGTCGATAAAGATGCAGAGTGGAAGTGGAAGGTGACTATTTGCATGATAATCCAAGATGTGCACTGTAAATTTTACCCTACTCTCGTGCTTTTTGAGTTGCTCTCAACTCATATAGTTTAATCGAGTCAAGTAGGATCATCTCAGTCATTTAGCAAGTTCCGAGCTCTTTACTTTTTGGAATCGAATTTCATCTTTGTTGAATACTGTTCTTTTTAAATCATTTTGAGATCTAGGCTGTCGATGAATCTGTTGAGTACGCTGCCATCCCGTACGAGGACAAAAGTAGCTTGAAGAAGTTTCTGTCTGAGAATGAGTTTTGTCTGACAGGCCCGGTTAGTTGAAGGTGACTCTGTCTAACACACCCATTACAATTGTTGTAGGCATTTGCCTTTCTGTTGGAAAATAATCGTGATTTCTTGGACAAGATCATCACACATGTGCGAGTGTTCGCTAGAATGGCACCGAAACAAAAGGTTTGTTTACGTTATATCCAGTTGCTTTCCATCTTGCCTTATTCACATCATGACGCTGCTGCACTACATTATTTTCATTTCCTTTCATTTATGTGAACTTTTTTCTTGCATACGTACTTAGGTAAGGTGGGAGCTGCTAATATACCGATTCAGGAGCGGGTAATCAACGAGTATAAGTCGCTCGGCTACGTCACCCTTATGTGCGGTGATGGAACGAATGATGTCGGTGCTCTTAAGCACTCTAATGTCGGTGAGAGATTTTCTTCGAACTTACAAGGGAGGGATGGTCAGTCGAAGTGGCTTTTTGCGATGATTTGTATACCATTTTGGAGGGCATGAAACGCTGATTCCTACTCTGTTTTCCTTACCTGCGGCGCATTTCTCGCACGAGAAGTTATGAGCGTTTGTTGCAGAAAAAACTGAATGTGCAAATAATATAAAAACAGTAGTAACATTATTCCTAGCGCTTAAATGGAACAGTGGTAATCTTTCCAGCACTTTATAAAATAAATACTCTTAGGCGAGAGATATCCGCAGTCTGGCTGTCTCAATCAAGCGCTGGGAAAATTTTAAAAACAGTTTTTATCCACGCTCATTTTTTGCTCCTTTAAGCGCTTATAACTCCTCGTCCAGGAACGCGCCGCAGATAAAGAAGACAGATTTGGAATCAGCGTTTTATGCCCTCCACCACGATATACAACCTATCTCAAAAGTCCACTTCGACCAGCCTTCCTTCCCTTGTTAGGTTCACGATGTATTTTCACTGATCTAAACAGTAGCGTTTAGGCGTTGCATTGCTGTCGCATCCTTACGATGCAACCAAAGCAGAGCAAAAAGAAAAAGAAAAGAAGGAGAAAATTGAGGAAGCACGTCGTTTGATGCATATCAACAATGCCGCTCCTCCCGGAATACCGAGCTCTGCTGTTCGGCGCGGAGATGCACCAGTTGGTGCTAGAATGAGGTAACAACTCCTTAGAACATAAAAGTTTCAGCGTTTAGCTACCATATCATTTTATTTTCTTGACCTTATTAACAGTTTTCTGATTTATTTGTTTGATTATCAAGATCATCATTCTCAGTCTCATACAAGTATTATATTTTTAGGTTGTTGCAAAAATAATGTCCGTTTTTCTAGACCTATTTCCAAACAATTTTTTTCCCATCAGACTTTCTTTTTCGATATAGCATCTGCATATCAATGGAAAGCTCTCTTCATGTGCTTTCTCATGGCGTTGAAATTAAGCTGCTATCTCACATGTGATAATTTCACCAGCATTTTCCACATCCGCACTCAAAATCAGAATCTCATAGCTTCCACTTTCTTGACCACAATTCAGGAGCAAATAAACGAATTCTTCTGAGAACATAGCAAGTGTATTGAATGAAGATTGTTTACCTACTGCGTGCTTATGTAGATTTTTGGAGAAATGTGGACTTAGAAATTGACGCGTCAAAATAGACACTCGCTGCTGGCATTCTATGGGTCAGAAATTTCTCATAATTAAGGCAGTCGCCAAAGCTTCGCCCATTTCTATAAGCTTGAAATAAGCACACCTTAATTACATTATTTGAAGAGAAACTTAGCTATTCAGTGCGCGAAGAATTCCAAATTTTCATAATTAGGCACTTACAAGCCTACAACAAATAGGCTCAAAAGAGTGAACATTTTTGAATTTTTATCTTTTCTTTTCGCAGAACTCCTTCGTTGGAGTTTTTTCTATACACACCTATACTATTGGCCTGCGGCTACAAAATAAGCTAATTAGCAGACATAGGGACAAAGCTTGAAGGGAGTTGTAAACTCTTGAAGACGAGGTTTTCAAGAAAAAAACTTTCAGTTTTCTGACGCATGGTTTTCTTCCCGTTTGCGATATCAGTATGGGCAGGGGCGCGCTAAATTAAGAAAGGCTTGGTGTTTCTGATGGTCTTGACTGCATTCAAAAATATCGAGACTGAACGAAGTTATAGCTTTTCAAAGTGAAAATTTGCAGAACGGACATTATTTTTGCAACAACCTAATAATATCTATTGTTTATGTGTAGAACTTTGGGAAGTTTTTCAAATCTTTGAACGATACGCTCCATTTTCTTGTAACTTCGGGTATACCTCTAAAAATATTAACTGCTCCAAATATTAATGGCAGTCAGCGCCTTCATTCTCTGATATCGCATTGTTGCCTTCTTCCCTCTCCCTCCCCCCACTCTCCCCTCCCCCCCCCCCTTCCGCCGCTAAATTTTGGGTCCATCGCAGAAGTGTCTGTAGTGCCTACACAAAATCGACTATCATGATTACAGGAAGAACGGTACTATTCTCAGAGAGTTCAGCGTAAAAATTCATAGCCATGAGAACTCATAAACAAAAACCACAACTGATGCCGCATAGTCATCTCATCATTTATTTTTCAAAAAGTTTTGAGGTTGATTGAACCCAACAAACTGAAAGTTAGTCTTTCAGGAATCCTCATCCTTCGCTCGCTCATACCCATAATAGATTAGAGAAGCTGATGAAGGAATTAGAGGAGGAAGAAAGAGCGACTGTTACAAGGCTGGGAGATGCGTCTATTGCAGCGCCTTTTACTTCAAAATACACAAGCATAGCTTCCAGTAAGTTTCACTTGCTATCGTCAGTAACTGTCTTCAATCTTCCATTCGTTGAATGTTTACAGTCTGTCACGTAATCAAGCAAGGAAGATGTACATTAGTGACTACCCTGCAGATGTTCAAAATTTTGGCGTTAAATGCTCTCGTCTCCGCCTATTCGTTATCTGCCTTGTACATGGATGGAGTGAAATTCAGTGACACACAAGCCACAATCCAAGGACTTCTTCTGGCAGCTTGTTTTCTTTTCGTCTCCCGTTCCAAGGTTTGTCTCTTAGCCATGATAGTTGCGGTAACTTCTTATGCTGTGCTCGTAAAGTTCCTATTTCTAGCCCCTCAAGACATTGTCCAAGCAGCGCCCTATGTCAAACATATTCAATGCTTATACTCTTTTGACTGTTACCGGGCAGTTCATCGTGCATTTTAGTTGTCTACTCTACGTAGTGAAGTGTGCTCACGCAGCTTCACCGAGGTAAGTTCTGTTGTTTGCATGGATCTTAGTTGTACAACCTGCATGAATTTGTGAGCCATACGGTTTCCAGCGATGAGCCTGTTGATTTGGAGGCAAAGTTTACCCCAAGTATTCTGAACACGAGCGTCTACATCATATCTATGGCTCTGCAAGTTTGCACATTTGCTGTGAACTACAGGGTTTGTTGCAAAGGCGGAAGCTCTGGGGAGCGAGCAAATTCTTTTGTTTCATTTAGGGACGACCATTTATGGAATCGTTGCTTGAGAATAGGGCAATGTTGTACAGCATCTTGATATCTGGAGGATCAGTTTTCATGCTTGCCACAGGTGCCTCTGCCGATGCGATGAAAAAGTTCGAACTTGTGGTGCTTCCAGATGAGGTATCAGCTTTACACTCTTATGTACCATGTTTTATCATTTCTGATTTGATGATTTATTTTTCAGCTCCGGAATATACTAGTCTACTGCGTATCATTCGATCTCGTCGCTTGTTATATGATTGATAGGATTCTAAACTTCCTTTTGGGCGACATGTTTTGATTCAGCGTTTTGTTGTAAACAGCGTTGTGGCCACTCGTCTATCTGTGATTTTTTCTTAACTTATAGGTTCTTGTCGTTGTTAAGTTGTTATTAACTGCTGTTCTGTGAACATAGTTTACCCACAGTTGTGCAGCTGTTTAGCATATTTCTTTTCTTTGTATGTGCTTACATGACTGTTAACTATACATTATTGTTTCACCCTATTGTGGGCAAGTAGAATAGTAAATAATTTAATGGGAATGTGGCTTAATCCATCTCGGAAGTTAGCATCTCGGTATTATTTGAATATAAAAGTATCAGCACAGCACAGTGGGCGAATTAGATGCACATTTCAACACTATACAAATATATAGGAAATGTTCTCAAACTTTCAGGAGTTTTATGTGCGGTTCATCATGTATAGGCCTTTCATAAAATCGTGACGATGAGTTCGATTGCGGCCTTTGCGCTATCCCAAACGTCACAAAAACTTAAAATGCTTAAGAGCCATAACCTTGCTGTTTCTCAGTCTCTCCAAGTATCTATAATCCTATGCATGCGAAAGATGCATGCATCCTTATGCGTGCAAAAAACGATTTGTATAACGACGAAATTTAAGAATATGCGAAAATTGCGGTTGCCAAAACTGCATGCGGTACGCGCGTGACCGGCGGTCGTCACGATTTTATGAATGTCCTATAATCACACAAAATTATCGCCGAACTATGCAAACGCTTTTGGCTCAAACTTGAAATTCGCTATTCGGTTTTTTTTGCTTCCGAAAATGTTTTGAAGATTAAGAAGATCTCACCATCAAGATGGCCGATACTGATAAAGAGCTGGTGGACGCTGCTGATCGTGTGTTGCGATCTGTATGTATTGACATCTTATCGACAACTCCGGGAGAATATTCTATCATAGATACATTTGCGTGAGTTTGTCACGCTTCCAGAGTTCGCGTACAAAACCCCTTCTTACAGCTTGGATCCAGAAAATGTGAAAATAGATCCTCTCTCCTTGCTTGATAACCTCATCCACCCGAGTGAGCCTGCAACGTGGCTTTCTCCAGTTGTAGACTCGCAGGGCAAAATTACTGATGTGGTTGAGTACATTAGAGATGATGACGAGTTCGGCGCCTCATCTGTATCCATGTCTCTGAACAGGTATCTTGAGGGACGATGAAGGTTTGGTCAAGATTTTTTATTTTTATATTTTTTAGGTCTCCCGCGGTGGACTCGACTAGCATTCGAGGCTCTTCTAGCAATGTGCCATTCTATCCAGGTTGAAGTTTGAAGTGCCTATCACAAAAAATCCTGGATTTTGTTTGAGGTGGTTTTGACAGCGCATTCGGCAACGTCATGGCTTTTGCAAGAAATGAAGACAATCAGGAGTCTGATGAAAAAGAATTTTTCAGAGAAGATGGTGCTCATTACCTAAAATGTACAGTGTCGAAAATCATACAGAACTTTCTAGATCTCTTAACATGTGCCCCTGGGATGCCTGGTGGTCTCACTTTCTCAAAACCAAAACAAACTCCTACAGAAGCTACAAAGCCCGATAAAAGTCCAGTTATTGATGGAAATATAGATTTTGACTCCACTGATTTATTCGAACTCATGGATTTCGTAGGAGGAGGTGAGCCTCTCTGCTTAATCGTCATCCTCAGTCATCAGCTTCTTTTTTAGGTTCGCCTTTGGTGATCCCAACGGAAAGTTCCATTCCTGCTGAAGAAACGACAGAGTTAGGGCCAAAAGCTGATGTGTCACCCGATGGAACTAATTCCAATGTCACCGAAGAAATTGAGGTGCCAAAGAGCTTTGCATTCTATTTTTGCGAACTAGGTTGACCAGCAAAAGTTTCATCTCCAGGAGGCTTTGGTAACTCCACTACCGAAGCCAGCGCTCAAATTTGTTCCTCCTGAACGTTTTGCATATGCAAAACAGCTCGATCCAGCCTTGTGCGAAGCAGAATACAGGGCACTGGTACCAAATATGGCCAAGAAGGTAAACAAACGAGTTTTCTTAAGTTATAGGATGGGCTAGAATTTTGCAAGCAAGCCACGGCAAGCGCAGTAATACATTCCTTATACTATTCGAATTGGAAGTCGCGTAGGCGCTTGAACCCATAATAACTCTTTGATAGTGTGTACATAAATCACGGCGTATCCTAAAATCCTATATTTCATCAGTTGCACTGTCAGACATTTACTTCATAATATCTGATGCTTGATTTGCTTTTTTGATCAATTCTGCATTGCCTTGCGTTTGGGTGGTTGACAAATAGTGCTTCAGTGTTTTGGTTTCAATATAAATATGTAGCGCGGTGAAATAGGTCGCAATAAAGTTGAGCATCAAATTTTTAAAAGTTTCAAACTGCCTCCACCACTTTTTTTCAAAAAAAAAATTGGAGAGCACGAAGGAGCCTTTGGTGATTCGAGAAGCAAATATACCAATGGCAAATCAAAACAACCTGAAGGATAATAGAAAACATTCAGATCATGATGTTTTGGGCCGCAAAAATTGTTGAATAGTGATAAAATTAGGTATTCCAACAATATCATTAGAATTACGTTCTTCAAGCAAAAATGTAATGTCGAGTGTTTCTGAAGTAGTCATGGCATCCGAATTTTTCTATGGGTTAATATACAGGGTGTCCCAAAAAAATGTATCGAACATTTGATCTCTAATAACTTCCCTATATGGAAAGCTCTCGCGGATTGAGTGTTGTACGGTAGAGCTGGGTTCAACTTAGATTTCCAGTATAGAACGAATCACCGATTTCGCTTAGTTACTGTAGGATTACGGTGGGAATGTTCAACTAATATTGAGGTTCTGACAGGCGAGAACTGCTTCTAAAAAATTCCATAAAAAGCGAAGGACGTTAAACTGAGGTTTCCAGGGATGCTGAATCTAAATAAAACATTTTCCACTACCGTGCTTCTCATCTTCCTATGGTAGACGCACTTTAACGCTAAATTTTTGGCTTTTGACGACGGTTTGTCACTGCAACGTTGAATTAATAAATTTTGGAAAAAAGTCAAAACATGGCGTTACTGTGCGCTTACCATAAGAAGATGAGGAGTGCGGTAGCGGAAAACTTTGTAGTTAGATGCAGCATATCCGGAAAATCTCGATTAACGTCCTTCGGTTTTTTGAAATTCTTAAAAGCAGTTCTCGGCTGTCAAAAGCTTGTAGAAAATTCCTACCGTAATCCTACAGTAACTAAGACAAATCGGTGATTCGCTCTGCACTGTAAATTTAAGTTGAACCCAGCTCTACCGTATGACACTCAAAGATCCGCAAAAGCTTTCCTTATAGGGAAGTTATTGAAGATCAAACGTTTGATACATTTTTTGGGACACCCTATATAGTTATCTTGTGTTAATTGATTTTACTGTCGACTTTTTGGATAAAATTTATATGTGATAATGCCACATATATGATCTATTCATTCATGAAAATGAGTTGAACTCTTTCGTTTTTCTTTCTCTCAAGGTTCATTTCTGCCATAGTAGAAGACCTTCTGCCTAAGGCTTCTCTCCTCTTGTATCCAAACTGATGGTCCTAGTAATAGTCTGGCATATGCGGACTTATGTGTAGAAATGTAGACTACCTATGCTTCCCGAATTTAGCTCGTTGAACACAATTCCTCAGTTTGTGGTTAAGTCTAGATGTTCTCCTCTTCATTTTGTCGCTGGAGGTATTTCCTTGGACGCAGTAAATCATGATGCTCTACCAATACCGATAACAAGCTATAATATATCTTTTGAATATGTCAGAGTCAGGTTGTTTCATAAGTTCTTCCACAGCACTTGCACTTTTTCGGATTGTTTGGAGCTAAAAAATGTGTCATGGTTGCTCTCGCTTTCTTCTATTTTTTGCGTGTCTTTTGAAGCTGACCCTTTTTCTCTTAAGATATTCATTCTTCTGAATTTCTGTCATCTATTTTGCCTTACCGTACGCTTTGATGGGAACCAGAACAGGTAAAGGACATACAATCAGTTTAGTACAATTTTTGGATCATGAGTTTTGCGTGGAACTACTTATTGAATTTGAGTTGAAGTAAATAGCCTTCTAGTTTGATTTTTAACTCTGGCCGAAAAAGGTGTACTGATCATTTTAGTATCCGTTCGAACTGGATGGGTTCCAGCAGGCCGCTGTGGTCTGCATGGAGAAGGGAGAATCTGTCTTCGTGGCCGCTCATACCTCAGCTGGAAAGACTGTTGTTGCGGAATACGCTGTAGCGCTGTGTGAACATCACAGGACAAGGTGATTCCCTGTTAAAACAAAAGTAAAGTGTTTTACAAAAACAGCTTCCACTAGGGTCCGGGATTACAATTGTTTCGCAGCAATAGTCAAATAAGCAGGAATTTTCATGTTGGGAAATGAAATCAGTTTGTTTTGCATGAGATCACTTAATAATCGTAGGAATCATTATTCGAAAGTATGATATTCTATATTCATATATCCTTGTGCTGAGGAATGTATTGGTCACAAATCACTGAGATAACATGATACAGAATTTTTAGGGCTATTTACACTTCTCCCATCAAAGCTTTGTCAAATCAAAAGTTCCGTGATTTCAAAATGATGTTCACGGACGTTGGTCTAGTTACTGGCGACATCCAATTGTTCCCAGAGGCGTTCTGTCTCATTATGACTACGGAAATATTAAGGTTGTTTGAAGGAAATACCAATCACATCTAACAGCCCATGGAAGTGGTTGCTTCAGGTCAATGCTCTATAATGGCTCCGAAGTTGTTCGAGACTTAGAATGGGTTGTGTTTGATGAGGTCCACTACATAAACAATGCTGAAAGAGGACATGTATGGGAAGAAGTATGTCATTTTTCTCCTGTTCTCTTCTTCCTATCTCTGTCGATCATCCTGTCTTCAGGTCTTGATCATGCTTCCATCTCATGTGAAGATCGTCATGTTATCGGCTACAGTTCCGAACTGTATTGAGTTTGCCGATTGGGTTGGGTACGTGATGAAAAAGCTAACTTTTCTGAAAGAATGTCCAAAATTTTATAGACGCATCAAAAATCGCAAAGTGAATGTGGTATCTACTCTTCGAAGACCAGTCCCGCTTGAGCATTACCTGTACACTGGGCAAGATGGGAAAACTAAGAAGGATCTCTTCAAAATTGTTGACATGAATGGTAGTTGGCTTGATGTCGGATACAAGAAAGCTGCAGATGCTAAGGTGAACCTCGGAAAAAGGTTGATGAAATGATGATGTCAAAGGCAATTTCAGAATGCTTTGATCAAAAAGGAAGTATTACCGAATCGAGGAAGAGGTGGCGCCGCAGATGGAGGTAGAGGAGGTCGCGGTGGACAAATCCGTGGAGGTAGCACCGTATTTGATATCTGCGGAAACGTACTGGGGCCAAACTTAGCATTTTCCAGGAGGGAATGTGGTAAACTACAATACCAGGCCTACGAATAAAAACGACAAAAATGTTTACATCAGTCTTATTGACTTTCTTCGCACGAATGAACAGTTGCCCATGGTCGTTTTTGTTTTCTCAAGGAAAAGGTTGGTTGTTTTTACTTCATCTATGAAAAACTGAGTTAAACTGGAATACGTTTGCATGCAGATGTGACGACAATGCACAATTACTGCAATCGATGGACCTTACGACAGAGGTGGAAAAGTCCCATATTCAGTCTTTCTTCTCACAATGTATCAATAGACTCAAAGGATCAGACAAGAAACTGCCGCAAGTACTGGAGGCCTTTTTGAGTGTGTTTTCTGAGAAAAAAAGGAGATTTATTTTTTCTAGGTGCATTCAATGCGAGATTTATGCCTGAGAGGGTTTGCTGTGCATCACAGTGGGATTCTGCCAATTCTCAAAGAAGTTGTCGAGCTGTTGTTCCAGAAAGGATATGTGAAGGTCCGTTCTCGATTGTGTCACAGGCTGTAGAAAAGTTCTGTTTTTCACCTGGTCTTTCAATCGTTTTTTGAAAAGGATTCGCATAATTTGAAATAGGGGGAGGGGAGCAAAGGGGGATTAAGTCTAGAGGTAGCACTCGAAATGAATACTGGTTATGCATCTCGGACGTCTATACTTGAAGATAATATGGATTCCTCCCACATACCCTTTTTGGTAGCCTCTCACTTCCAGATTCTTTTTGCTACTGAGACTTTTGCCATGGGAGTGAATATGCCTGCTCGTACTGTCGTTTTTGATAGCATTCAAAAACACGATGGACTAGAGCTGAGAACTTTGAATGCTGGAGAGTATATACAGGTATGCGTATTTATTAGCGATTTTTCCCTACTGTTCTTGTTCAGATGGCCGGACGTGCTGGCCGAAGAGGTTTGGATACAACTGGCACGGTGATTGTACTGTGTAAGCAGCCGAAGCTGGTAGAACCAGGCCAGCTGCAGACTATAATGATGGTCGGTTTGCTTCTCAAGTAGGCCACTCTACTGTGGAATCATTCAGTTTTAGGGTAAACCAGCGCCTCTCGTTTCGCAGTTTCGAGTTACATACTCCATGCTTCTGAATCTACTACGAGTTGAACATCTGCGGGTAGAAGATATGCTGCAAAGGTCTTTTGTAGAATGTGTTGCCCTCCGTGAAGGTCCGTCGAGGAAAACTAATCTTGAGAAGGTATGTGTTGATCAGCGCGAATTTGAGCAATTACGCGAAACAAGTATACCATGTAATCCAAGTTTGAGATCAGCTTTGCAAAAAAAGGAACTGCGAAAAGGGAAATTCCTTGTGGCTTGTAAGCATTGCTTCAAGATTTCATGCAAAAATGCTGCAAATATAATTTTGCGAGATTCGTATTGCTTGTCATAACTACTCTTTGCCTCTTATCAAATTCTTATATATGACAATTTCAGGCACAGGAACACCTCTCCACACTACCTAAGACTGAATGTCAGATGTGTGAGCCCTCAGAAGCCACGATCACTCCCATTCGTCAATTCCACGATGTTTTGGTTGACTTCATCGAGAAAAGGGCTGAACTTTGGCTGCGCTTGGCAGGTTTGATTTTCAGGAATGAAGGGAAGGGGAGCATTGATGAGGCTGATAGAGGATTTATTCACACTACGAAATTTAGCAGTGCCTGTGATGGACAAGAGGCTCAAATGTGGTCGAGTCCTACTTGTGTCAAGCGCGCAACATCAGCTGCAAAACCAACTTGTTCTTCTTATTAAGGTTTGTTGGAATCAGGTCTGTATGGGCCGCCGTAAGCTCCATTGCCTGAAAACACAAAGTGTCCCAAAAAATGCGCTTACTGTTGATTGTTGATAACTCGCTTATCATGAAGCCTTAAATTAGGGCCCCGGGCAGACTTCACGCGATTTGATCGTCGCGACTGAATCGTGACGAGACAACTGTTACGACATCATTCCATGCCGATCAACTTGAATTCGGTTGTGGTACTTTTCCAGCCCGAAATTTTTGAATCTTATATATAAAGCTGAATGTCTGTATGTATGTATGTATGTATGTATGTATGTATGTCTGTACAGTCGAGTAGATTTAGCGGTAAATATAGTGTGCTTGCACAGAAGGTGAAATGCGGTAAAATTGGCGCGTGAAGAAATAGTTTCGACTGTGACGCCGGCCAATTGCGCGCGCACGATACCCGCGCTACTGACGTGGCTACTTGTTCACGCGCAAATTTCACCGCATTTCACCTTCTGTGCAAGCACACTATATTTACCGCTAAATCTACTCGACTGTATGTCTGTCTGTGTGTACGTATGTTCCGAATAGAAAATTCCATTTCTGAACCGATCCGGACCAAACTTGGCACACATACACTACGGGCCCCGGCGGGTGTCATAGGCTACTTTTCGTCATCGATCGATATCGATTTTATCGATTTTTATCGATTTTTTTGCTGAGTTCACCTACGGGGCTGGGAGTTGGCACAGGGGGGTAATCGAGCATGGGGATTCCGAATACAATATTGGTTTTCAGGATTATCGATTACTTTTATCGATTTTATCGATTTTTTGCAAAGTTTGAGCTACGGGGCTGGGAGTTCGCACAGGGGGGTAATCGAGCATGGGGATTCCGAATACAGTATTGGTTTTCGGGATTATCGATTACTTTTATCGATTTTATCGATTTTTTGCAAAGTTTGAGCTAGGGGGCTGGGAGTTGGCACAGGGGGGGGGGGTAATCGAGCATGCTGATCATCCCCAAGGGGGGTGATCAGCATGCTCGATTACACCCCTGTGCCAAATTCCAGCCCCCTAGCTCAAATTTTCAAAAAATCGATAAAATCGATAAAAGTAATGGACGATCTTGAAAACTAATACTGTATTCGTAATCTGCATGCTCGATTACCCCCCTGTGCAAACTCCCAGCCCCGCAGGTCAAACTTTACAAAAAAATCGATAAAACCGATAAAAGTAATGGACGATCCTGAAAACTAATATTGTGTTCGTAATCAGCATGCTCGATTACCCCCTGTGCAAAATCCCAGCCTCGCATGTCAAAATTTACAAAAAATCGATGAGATCAATAAAAGTAATCGATAATTCTGGAAACTAATATTGTATTCGGAATCCCCATGCTCACTTCCCCCCCTTTGCCAACTCCTAGCCCTGTAGGTGAATTCTGCAAAAAAATCGATAAAAATCGGTAAAATCGACATCGATCGATAACGAAAAGTGGACTGTGACACCCGCCGGGGCCCGAAGTGTATGTGTGCCAAGTTTGGTCCGGATACGGCGGAGCCGGGTAAGCCAGCTAGTGTGAAATGAAAATGAATGGAAATCTTGGCGATTAGATCGCGACGATTAAGTCGCGTGAAGTCTGTCCGGGGCCTTAGAGAAGCTTTGAGTACCATTCTGTAAGACTGACCTCAACTTAGATTTGGGCCGAGTATACAGTATGGGCCGAGTCCCCGATCGCTCTCTCCATTCCTGTAGGACTACGGTAGGAACTTTCAGCTTATAACGTCATGTGAATTATCCATGTTTCAAATTTCGGGGAACATTTAAACACAGCTACTGCGGTTTACTTAACATAACTAATGTACAAATTATTGCGGAAAAGCGCAAAGTTTATTCGGTGCAGCAGTTCTGATTGGCCTAGTGTAAGAGTTTTCAGGTTATTTGATATGTTTTCTGAACCGAAATAAGGCCCGCAATGATGGTAAACCATCTTCGGAATTCCTACCTTAATCCTACGGTAATGAAGAGCGATCGGGCGGCCCATACTGTGAATCTGACAAGGGAACCGTGTCGAGTCGAAGTGGCCTTTCCAAATGAGACCCATACTGCTTTAAAGAGTATTAAGCGGCGATTCCAAATCTGCTTTCCAAATCTGCCAAGCGCCTCTGGACGCCGAGTTATGACCGTTTATCGGAACGAAAAATGGATGCAGAATTTAGGTAAAATTGATTGTTACAATCTTTCCAACGCTCAGATAAAGCAATGTTAAGTATTAGCATCTATATATATATATAAAACTCAAAAATTGTCAGTTTGGAGGGTATGTGCGTCATAGAAACGCGCGCCGCTCAACCGATTAAGCTGAAACTTTACACACATATGTTTTCGAGCCTTGCGCAGATGATAGGCTACTTTTTGCAGCGATTCGTTGGGTCCTTCTATCGATTTATTGATTTGCAGCACTTTGCAATAAAAATGATTCTTATCATTTGCTATCAAAACAGGGGTACGTAAACAAGGCTGGCATGTCTCATTGTGAACTTCTGTTGACGAAGTGCAGTGAAAAGTGTTCTTAATGTGAGTCTCATTTGCTCATTTAAATGGATGCATTAAATGTATCTTATGCGGAAACCTTAGCGTGCAAGAGACCATGAGTGCTTTGTAGCGAGTGTTTTGTACGGAAGCGTGCTCAATTTACGCTCATAATCAATGCTTTCTTCGTTACATGCTCAATTTAAACAATGAGGGGTCAAAATTTTTCATGAGATTGCGCACAAATTATTTGTCAGTACCAGAAATAATGTCAAGACAAGCGACAACTCACATTCGCTATAGTTGATCCCTGGGACCAGTAAAGTGCGCGAGTGCAAAGTACTGCCGACTCCACAAAAATTGACGGCAAGCAGTGAATGAAGATGAAGTAGCCGGTTAACAGCAAAGTGTCACAAAAAATGATCCTCATAATAACAATGAGCGCTGCTATCAATTAACTCGCGCTGCTTGCTTAGGTTTTGCGTGTTGAACTTGATTTGGAGAAAGAGAGATATGCTACCGACTAATAAGTGTTCACATTTTGTTTTTGTTCTTACACAGTTTCTACAATGCCACCGAATACCTTATCTTCATTCCCGATCAGTGATCATTCCCGGGCTGGACCGGGCAGATCACCTAGTATAAAATAAAATGTATCCATTGCATAAACAGTTCTGATACTCGACACCGGACCATTTGAGCAAATTTGGGCGATTTTGCTCCAGTTTTGCATTCAATTTTTTGACCCAAAAAACGAGCATAACTCAGCGTCCAGAGGCGCTTGGCAGATTTGGAAAGCAGATTTGGAATCATCGATTAATGCTCTTCAAAGCAGTATGGGTCTCATCCGGAAAGGCCACTTCGACTCAACACGGTTCCCTTGTGAATTGAAGCCAGCTCTACAAAATTGTACCTAAAGACTGCATGAAAAAAGCTCCTCCAAAGACTGCATGACAAGAGAGCTATTAACAATCAACAGTAAGCACATTTTTTTGAGACACCTTGTATTTGAGGACGCCACCATCATTCCACTAGCTATTGCAATGTCCAAGCTTATATGAAAGCACTCTTCTAAAATTTTCTCGTCTGTAATAAGCGGAATGTATCTAGGACTTCTTGGGAGATGGCAAAAGGTCATTCCAAGTGCTGGTACCTTGTTACGAATCCGATTCGGTTCCCGATGAACAAAAACGAAAAAGCGATGAGTTCGCCCGATTGCCAAAAGAGGTTTGTAATTGCTTCTTAGCAGAAGTTCATATGAACCAATTGTCATAATACCTCTATTCAAAATCGATGGTTATCCAGAAACATGTATGTTTGAAAATTCACACACTACGACCACCGTATCATTCCATATTCCCCCTTGAGTCGCGATTGCTAGATAGCAGAATTTTGAAAGGGAACTTGTGGTGCGCAAATGTCCCATGTTTACAGGAACGTGATTGGTTGGAGGAAACTTGTATGCTGGAGGGATCTATTCGTTACGGAATTGAAGCAGTGGCTAAACTGGCAATGGATGGACAGCGGGGACAGCGCTCGTTCCGCATGGTGAATGATCTCCCCATATCATCTCTACTTGGAGTGAGCAAGAAGACATTCAAAATTGACGTCGCGGAGGTGCTGTCAGAAGCGAGATCGAGGGAAATACCCCGTCTGAGGTAATTTAATTTTTACATATAACTTTTCAAACAATAATTGCCGAACATGAGTTTTTTATTTATATAACATATCATGAAGCCTGCAAAAATCAACAAATTTATTTGCATGGCTGGGCTGCCATACCATACTTATTCAAAAGCTGAATTTGATCCAGTCCAATGGCGTAGTTGTCTAGAAGACCATCCACGACAAAGTGTACCTTGAAGTCTCAAAATTTTGTGGCTGCTTCGCAAAGAGCAGGTTACGGTGATGAGCTACTTACCACATGTGCACTTGATGTCAATGGTACATGGTAGTTTTTCCATCTACGAGCTTTTATATCTATCGTCCCACCTTTTATGTTAAGAGCACACTCGTTGATCGTATTTATGCATACCTGCAGCCGTCCTTTTATACCTGAAGAACTGCCAATTTAATAGGACTAGTTTCTCATCATGAAATTCGTTTTTTATGAAACTTCTCGTATTCGAAGCCGCTTCGAGGTGTCACGTGATGAATTTTAATTTGCGATCATCAGAAGATGGTTGAGGCAGAATGAATACGTTAGTTAAGCGGCTAGATTTGGCAAATGCCAAATAAATTCTATCGTGAAGAAGTATCGAAAAGCAGACATTTTTGAAAACGCTCATACATGTCTGTTTTTGCTTTGTAATATTTGGAAGATTTATAATTATATTTTACTTCTTTTGCGTACCTGCTTGATAAACAAAAAAGTCTAGACGCGAGGGCTCCTTCAATTCGAAAGGTAGTTTAGTTGATAGAATGTAGGTGTCAAGGTAGGAAACTGTGGTTCCGCCAGCATAGATGTAGTAGCCATCTGAATTTGCAAAGAATTCTGCTCTGTCAGAACTTATAATTCCTCACTCTTGGAAAGATCGTGAGGAATCCCAGTGAGCGAATTGAGAACCGCTCTGTTGGTGATCCGCCAATCCTTGAGAGATCCATTAATTGCCGAACTGTGTGTGGTGGAGCTGGTCACGTAATTGCAGAACGTCTAGTAAAAAAGCAACGATGCTGCTTGATGGACCGAATGCGCTAACTTACATTATCATCAAAGGTGCAGTCAATCAGTGGGCAAACAGGAGTGAATGCGGCCCCAACCCTTGGAGAGCTCTCATCAGAAGTACTGCTTCGATCAGCAGTTGGTGCAGCAAAATTCAGGGCTCTACGTGGAAGCGCATTGTGCGAAATGGAGTTGTAGTCCTCATTAAACGCTGCGGCTTGATTGTTGAGTGTGTTGATTTCGACATCTGCAATCAAGGGCGTTAAGTGGATCGAGCTTCTCGGACAGCTATGATTTCATCGATTTCAAATAGCGCTTGATTGCTCGCGTTAGATATGGACAAAAGAAGCTTCTGAACACTGTTTACTTGCTCTATAACTCGTCGTGAAAAGCAGTTTTTCTTTACTGGCTTTTTTTCCTTTTAGAGAAAAAAGCCCTAAAAAGACATTTCTGCCGTTGTGGTGGAGGGACATAAAACGCAAAATTGCCCAAGTAATTTTTTCGATTTTGTCATCTGAATGCTGGACAATGACTCAAAGGATTTAATACTTATATTACTTCGGTTTACTGCTGCTCCCCACCCATATTACTTCGGTTTACTGCTGCTCCCCACCCCTCCTTTCCCTGCGTTGATGTGGCCTCATTTTTTTAAAAAATGTTCTGCATGAGTTATGAATTGTAGAAGGGGCCCCTGAACAAAATTCTACATATACAAGCAAATATGTGAAGCTAAGAAAGATCTATAAATAGCTTGGCACTAGCTCATTTTTTTCGGAGGAATGACTCTCCCCCCCCCCCCCCTCTCCCTGCGCAATTTCGGTGAAGTCGGTGTTGTATCACTGTGGATTTTTAACCCCTACAAAATAACTCGCTTTGAAAGAAGGGTTTGGATCAAGATTGCTGGTCATTAATTTGCTTGGAAAGAATGAGAATAATCTGCATCAGAAAAAGAAGCAAAAGTTGACTGCAAAATATATGGCCAGTTCTTTGATGGTTCTTTGATTGATGCTTTGGTTGGTGCTTTTACCTGCTTTTGCAAGTTATGGTATGGAATAATATAATGTAGCTGAAGCTTACCATTTCCTTCTCCAAACGCTACGAGTTTCGAGTTGTCATCGGGGCCAAACGTTCCACCCGCTCCTTCAGCGGCACCAGTATTGGAGATTTCTGAACAGCTTTTCAGCAATACGACATTATAACCTTTTCAAATATTCTGTTGGATTATACCACTTAGAAAGAAACAGTAACTATAAATCAAATAATTTATTATGGCAATTTGTCTATACATCAATGTTTCGACTTTCGCAACCTCCTAGCAACTTTCCTTGATCGTTCGCGCATCATTTTATGAGTGACTTTAATAGGAACAATGGCCGGTGGTAGTGCAGTTCTACTGCTGTCGTCAAATGGAAGTCCCATTGTTCTTTGCATAAGTCTGTTCAAAAACTGCTTCTTCAGCTTTGCAAAACCTCCCGGTTTTGTGACTAGTGTGAGGTCCATGCCGCGTGTTAGTCCTTCCAGATCTGGTATCTCTCGTAACATCTCGAGGTCATCCTTAACACCCGTGGGTAGATACCTTGTAAGCTCTGTTAGTTTTGACGCCACCTCGGATTCCATCTGCGTCGGTTTTTTGAAGATGAGCAGCTTTTGCGGGGTTGTAGTCTCTACGGGTTCTTTTGGTTTTTCGTTCTTTTTGAACAGCTTGCTATGCAACTTTTGGATATCTTCGTGGCTATCTTTGGGGGCTTCAACTGTTTTCTTCACAGCTGTAATCTTCCTTCTCACGACGGCGTTCTTGACTAGAGTAGGTGGATAGAGGGTGGGCAGTAGTACAGATTTGGCGGTTGTAGCATGCATCCCGTAAATGTTCCTGAGTGAAGCAGCTGTAGGAGTTTCTGCTAAAGTAGTAGGTACCATTGGCCGAACGGTCGTTAGCGCTTCTCCTTCCCCTATAATGCCGAACTTCTTGGCAAGATCCAAGAGTGATGGTTCACTCGTTGTTGAGTAATCTAAATAATTTTGACTAGTGTCGTAGTAGTGCGACGCTTGCACGGGTGAGTGTCGCACCTCATCTGTTGACAACAATCCGCGGATATCTGGAAGTTGCAAAGATTGGATGTCTTTTCCATTGGGAAAGTCTACTGACTGCAGGGTTTTGATTAACAAAGGCAAGTATGGTAATACAGGTGCTGTTTGCTTCAAGAGATTCACAAAGTTAGCGACTGGGTCAGTAGTTGGCGAAGGTGGCAGTGAAGTTGAAATGGCATCTTCATCATCAACTTTTGAAGCTGTGGTTTCAACCTGAGCTGTGGTTTTCTCAGACGTGGTGGTATTGGAAGAGGCTGTAGAAGTTGTGCTCTCATAGTGTGTGGTTGTGTCAATCTTTGTTGTCTTGCGTTCCTCATTTGCTGTCGAGGAATTCATTGTTCGGTTCGTGTCGACGTCCTCCGACACTAATATCATGGTCTCGCCCTTGTACGCACCAGATTGGCGGTACCTATTCCAATCCCCAATACCAATCACATGTGGCGTCAATCTTTTTTTGCGATTCCCTGGATATCGGGGATCTGAACGGGCCCTCTTTCGCTATTGAAATTTTATGATCAGTAAAAACCTACCACATAAGGCTGAACTGTAGACGATATCGGTGAGGGCAATCACATCCATGGGTGGGTAAAAGGTTCCACGAAATATGAGCTGAAAAGTAACCTATATTCAAGAGGAAAGATGGGTATTCGAATTATTACCTCAAATGGCTGCGATAGAGGAGGAAGTTCCACGATGCGAAATATCCATTGTTGTGCGAAACTTGGCGATAGTCCATCAAAACATCTGGTCAAGCGTAGTAGCGATGGAGTAGGATCAAGCGAAAGAGACACTTACTTCATAGATGCAGTATCTTTACTTCCTGGTGGTTGCCTGGTGCATACTTCCAACTGCGATTCTACACCTGTCTTGTAGTACCAGTATTTGATGTTACCACCACCGATTTGACACGAAGCAACGTCCGACACCAATAGAGCTATAGTTTTACCCATGAAGCCGCTAGTGTAGGCGAAGTAACCCTCTGAAGCATCACAGTGATTTCGAGGAACTGATTGCGAAACACTAACCAGTGCCTTTTCTTGGGATGACTATATGCTGCGGATCAGCTTCGTAATGGGTGCCTATAATCCATTCGCCGCTGTCTTCGGAGTTGCTCGCATTTCTCCATTGGCAGTTGGAAGAAAAGTCACAGTTTAGGTCAGAGGAGGATGTGATATCCGCACAAACTGCAACGAAAACAGCCTTATTCAGCTGCTATCGGTTATAGAGAGCTCACCTTTTACGACCAATATCACTGCGAGGGCGAGATTTGCTGTGGCATCCGCTAGCAGTAATGTCATGGAACAGCGAAACCGTGTTTGAGGAAGAAAGTGAAAAGTTGGAAATGAGTGAGTAGCACCTTCGCGCGCACGACTCTGACCAACTGACCCATTCCATGCGTTCGGTAATTACCGTGCGCGCTTTTCTTCCTCTCAATTATCTCGTCTTCGTCTCTTGAACTTCTACATGACACTTCTTGTCATAAGGTATAATCGACATGAAGAACACCCTGCCAGCCCACATTCATTTCAAATATCTTTTGCTAGTTTTTGTCGATTAGCTTTCACTATGTCATTAAGCGAAACCCGTCATCGGCGTGCCTATTAGGTTGCATTTTATGTGTTAAGTGCATTTACTCTCTCGAGTAGAAGTAACTTATAAAGTTAAAGAAATGCAACATATGCCTATTTATACTTCCAGTTAATGTAACCAGATTTTCTGTTTTTTTTCAGAGGCAAGCCGATATCGGAAAGCGTCATGAAGCTTATTTTTGAAATGGATAATCTTACTGAAGAGTGGAGCGGTTCCGAACCACAGGTGATTATATAGTCCTTTTTTATTTGTCCCATTGCTGCCTATATCCGTTTACTTATCTCTTCACCGATTTGTTTAGCTTTATGACCTCGCAACAGAAGTCAAAGACATGGATTTTGAGTTGTCCGATCAGCTGATGCGCTTTCTTAGCCTTCGCGATGAAGTTCTGGAGCCATCCCGTCACACAGTGCGCAATTGCTTGAGATTTCAACAACATGTAAGTGGATTTTAATTTTTAATCTTCATTATAGGCGTTACCCTCGTTGACATGCATGATTTTTTCCTTATCTGCTCGTGAGGGCTAAAATTTTATCTAAATGTGAAACAGATTTTCAGCATGACCAGCCTGGTCCTTTAATGGAATTTCCATAACATAAACCAGGTCAACACATGCTCACAGTAATGCGTTTGGAAAAATATGCGATACGACTTTTCTGCCCAAAAAAATGAAATTTCATGTGGCCGCAGTGAACATCTTTCGTTTGACGCCGCTTCCATGCTTCTTCACTGAAGATTATCCGCTTCAGAGCGGAGGATTGTAGCTAGCTTGACTGAACTAGTTTTTGATTTGATGCACTGTCGTAATCTGTAGGTGCATAGAAAGATTTGTAATGATCCATCTCGGGATATGGCAATCGTTCACTTACCCTTCATTTGAAATACATTAGGATATCACAATATATCTGAAGAGATCTCGTGAAGACGGGTCTACGTAAACGGTCTCTTCACTAAATAGAGTTTACTCCACTTTATGAAAATCCAATTTTTTTGCTGGAAGATCGTCGCCATTATAATTTTTTCAATTCAGAAAAGCAAGAGATATTGGAGTTTGTACGAGGTCGACCATCAAGCAACTTTTTCTGGGGCGGTTGTTCCGCTTATCGAAAGCTTGTGAATTCCGTATTGCTAAATTATTAAGGTGGAAGAGAAAGATGCCCTAATGGTCTGATTTTCTATGCCCGAAAAAAGATTAAGCGGAAATTTGATGCGTTACTTCCTGCATCGGCAATTATAGCTGTGGTCGGTCTTGGAGGAAAAACCTTTCTATACTTGCATCACATTGCTTTCACTAAATGAACTTCAATGTGTTTTTGAGATCCTGCATTTTTCACAACGATTATCACCATCAATCATACCTTATCGCAAAATTAAATGGTTTTATTCACGCGTTAGCCTCAACATGATCACCCTTTGGCAGAAGGAAGTTTTGGTCAGAAGCTTATGTTGTGTTGAGTTTGTGCTGACTGTAAGGGAACTAATCATAGACTTCTCAATTTTTATTTCCAAGTCTACTTTTATGTTTAATTATTTATTGGCGTTGAATTCCCTTCATGGAAATTTTGACGGACGTTTCTCTCATGAAGACAATTGCATCTGCTTTGTTCCAGTGTCGCTTATTACTTGGTGACACTGGCGGTCCCGACATTTCCGTTCGGGAGGGGGTGGGGAACAAAAATCTTCTTGAATGGAGGTGTATGGCGTCAGCCACGCACTCAAAATTTTTTGAAACTTCTTAAAGTATAACCCTAAAATTTTAGGAAAAAAAAACAACCAGGCCAACTTATCTCTGCAGAGATCAAAAATTAACTATAAATTTAGTCTGGAGACTAGCTTGATCCATTAGCGCATCTTATAGTAAGCACAAAGGGCAGAATTATCGTCAGCTTCAACAGTCCCAGCACCAGCTACCAGTAATGGGGAGACGGTCAAGAGGCGCGATTTCTCCCGCTGTCACCAACAAAACTCCAATTTTGTGCTATGCGAGCTTTCAAAAAGTAGCAGATAAAGTGCAGTGGCTTACTATCTGTCTGAGGTAACCACTGCTGAGGTGGGTTTTGCTGGAAAACTGGACGAAATATTTACGAATTTGTTTTTATTTGCATTTTCACGAGTTTTCGGCTTAATTGCTGTTTTGGATTTCAAGGTAGCAAGATTGAGCAATCCCTGCTACTATCTAATATATTTCCTTTCAAAATTCAAATACTTTTAGAGTGTTAGAAAGCACTCTTATGTGCTTTATGGTGTCCATCTGACAATAAAAATCGCGCCTCTCATGCACCCTCAGTCAGTAATGCACTGACTGCAGCAGTAACATCTCAACATGTATACGACGCAACACCATCTTTTTTCAGCATCACAGTCCATGTAATCTCACATTATCCAATACTGCAACTATAGCAGAACCATTCGCATAAATCTACACCAATTAAAACTATTTCCAACAATGCAACTGCAGCATTTCCACTCACACTCATACACACCAACCCAAAAAATAGGTAAAAGTGCATTAGCATCTCCCATTTCAAATACACAACACCAGCACACCAGTCTATACCAATGTCTGCATCATATCTGGAGTACCATCACGCCAAAATACAAACACCACACCAGCACAATCTGTGGAAATGCAGCGCTATAATCCATACCAATCCGGACCGACCATCATTAACAGCAGGACACAGCATTAAACGTCAGAACAATCCAAACTGCATACAGTTGTTTTCAATACGTATTGATTTTTCTACCGTATGCCTTCCAGCCTCAACATCACGTGGATTGGTGTGGATTGGTATGGATTGGTGAGGCGCCGCATCGCTCCGGGTTTGCGCCGCGTTGCTTTTCTCGGCGGCGCCGCACCAAACCACACCAATCCACACCAATCCACGCCATGTTGAGGCTGCGGCGCCGCCGAGAAAAGCAACGCTGCGCAAACCCGAAGCGATGCGGCGCCTCACCAATCCACACCAATCCACGTCATGTTGAGGCTGGAAGGCATACGGTAGAAAAAACCAATACGTATTGAAAACAACTGTATTGGTTTTTTCTACCCTATGCCTTCCAGCCTCAACATGACGTGGATTGGTATGGATTGGTGAGGCGCCGCATCGCTCCGGGTTTGCGACGCGTTGCCGCTCCGGGTTTGCGCCGCGTTGCTTTTCTCGGCGGCGCCGCGCCAATCCACACCAATCCACACCAATCCACGCCATGTTGAGGCTGCGGCGCCGCGAGAAAAGCAACGCGGCGCAAACCCGAAGCGATGCGCGCCTCACCAATCCACACCAATCCACGTCATGTTGAGGCTGGAAGGCATACGGTAGAAAAAACCAATACGTATTGGAAACAACTGTATTGGTTTTTTCTACCGTATGCCTTCCAGCCTCAACATGACGTGGATTGGCATGGATTGGTGAGGCGCCGCATCGCCTCGGGTTTGCGCCGCGTTGCTTTTCTCGGCGGCGCCGCACCAATTTACACCAATCCACGTCATGTTGAGGCTGGAAGGCATACGGTAGAAAAAACCAACACGTATTGAAAACGACTTTGTGAACTCTAGTAACACTACTGTAGCACTACCATCCACATTGATCTGCACCATTTGACAACTCTCCACATTATTCCAATCACTGCAACGCTGCAGGACTCCCATCCACCCATTCCATACCACCCCCACCAATCCACACCATCCCACACCAAACCCACCTCAGATTGCATCGCGCCCCCATAACTTAACCTCAACATCAACTGCAGCACCACTATCCACACCAGTCGAATCATCCAGGCCAGCCCCATTCGACTGATGTACCAACATCCATGCCAATCTATACTAATTTACTGCGCTCCACACCATAACTACGACTACAGCACCACCATTCACACGAATCCATACCATTCTCACCAATCCACACCGTCCCTCACCAACTCCCCCCTCACTTGCACCCATAACCCACTCCAACTCCAGCACTACATCTGCAGCAAACACTCCACAACCCAGCCTGCGACAGCTGCATGCTATCCACACATATCCATACCGCTCCCACCATCTCACACCGTCCCTCACCAAGACACCCTCTCACTTTGAAACAATAACCTCAATCCAACTTCGGCTTAGTAGGACTGCAGCATCACTATCCACACGAATCCATACCACTCTCACCAACCCACGCAGTCCCTCACCAAACCCTCCATCATTTCACAGCACTCACAACCGTAGTCCAACTCCAGCACCACACCTGCAACAACGCAGTTCACCCCCCTTCGCATCACTTCACACTATTCCCATCACTACAACTGCAATACCACCATCCACACGAATCCATATCACACCAACCACGAATCCATACCTCTCACGTTACCCTCCCTTACTTCACAGCACCCATAACCGCACTCCAACTCCTCCAGCACCACAACTACAAACCGCTGTTCACCTCAGTCTGCATTACTTCATACCAGCCTCATCACTACAACTGCAGCATCACCATCCACACGAATCCATACCACTTCTACCACGAATCCACGCAGTCTCGCATCAATGCCTCTCTCACTTCACAGCGCCCATAACCGCGCTGCAACTCAAGCACTACAACTGCAACACCGCTGTTCACACCAGCTCACATCACTCCGCACCAGCTCAATCATATAACCGCAGCACGACAACGTCAATTCGCACCAATCCACACCAATTCGGCAGTCCGTCACCAATACCTTCCTCACTCCAAAGCACCCATAACCGCACTCCAACTCCAGCACAACAATGCGACACCGCTGTAGCTCAATCGTGCAGTTGTTTTCAATATGTATTGGTTTTTCTACCTTATGCCTTCCAGCCTCAACATGACGTGGATTGGTGTGGATTGGTGTGGATTGGTATGGATTGATGAGGCGCCGCATCGCTTCGGGTTTGCGCCGCGTTGCTTTTCTCGGCGGCGCCTCACCAATCCACACCAATCCACCCCAATCCACGAGGCGCCGCCGAGAAAAGCAACACGGCGCAAACCCGAAGCGATGCGGCGCCTCACCAATCCATACCAATCCACACCAATCCACACCAATCCACGTCATGTTGAGGCTGGAAGGCATACGGTAGAAAAAACCAATACGTATTGAAAACAACTGTATTACTGCAGCAGCACAATCCACACCAATCCAAATCAATTCGCAGCACTCCACATCAGCCTCAACACCATGACCCAATGGCGCGCGCCCCCCCCCCCCCCCAGAATGGGTCGCGAAATTTTTGAAAGTTACTTAAATGTGTTCTAAAAATGTGCAGAGGACTTGTTTTTACTTGTAAATAATTAAAATGATTTTTAAATATTTTTAAAAATTCAAATTAGCCTTGTAAAAAAATTTTTTCGGGGGCGTGGCTGCTGCCACGCCCCCTTTTTCTGAAATTTGGGGGTCAGGGGCCCGGAAAAATTTTGGGAAGCATTCCAAAAAATTTTTCGGAGGGCGTGGCTGACGCCACGCCCCTTGATCAGAAAAAATTTTTTGTCGCGCCCCCCCCCCCCGAACGGAAATCCTGGTTACGCCACTGCCATGACCGCATCACCACTTTCACACCAACCGATACTACACACCAGTGGCGGTACCAGGATTCCGGACCGGTAGGGGGCGACCTTTTTTAGGATGGTTCCCAAAATTTTTGTGTGACCATGACCCCAAAATAATAGACAAAGACTCCGCCACGCGCCCGAAAAATTTTCCTTACAAGGCTAATTTGAATTTTTAAAAAATTTAAAAAACTATCTTAATATCTACAAGTATAAGCAACCCCTCTTCTCTCGGACCGCCACTGCTACACACATCGCAACTCTTAATTGTAGATTGTATTCACACCAACTGCAGCACCACCCGAATACGACGAATTCCGCCTTAGAGCTGAGGTCGCAGCGCCGCCATCAATAGTAAACACTCTCTCATTGCAGCTCCTTCATTCACACCATTCTAGTGGCGAACCGAGAGGCAGGAAGGGGGGAGGGGGCTCCGAGAATGAGTGTGAGTTTTTTGAAAAACAAAACGAAATCATAGGTTAAAATTGGCAAGTGATTGTTTATACTTGTAAATGATTGAAATAATTTCTAAAATTTCTTGAAACTAGCATCATGACGAAAATGCTCGGTCATGGCCCGCAGAATATTTGGGAAGTTACAAAAAATATTCGAAGTGCGTGGCTAACGCCCTTGTTCGAGAAAAAAGTTCCCCCGAACGGAAATCCTGGGACGGCCACTGCACCACTCACCAATCCACACCAGTCTATATAATTAACACCATTTTAAACCTCAGCATGTCTGCAGCGCCGATTGACACTGTACAGTAAGTTACTTGCAGATTTATTTGGAATATCTGAATGATCAATTGGATCAAATACATTCGGTTGTCCAAAATTAATCTTTGGATCAATTAAACTTATGATTCTTAGGACTGAACTGACTGAACTGAACATTGAGTTTGTGATTGTATTCTTTCTTCTAACGGAGTTTTACAAAACTTCGGAAAGTTTATTGCTCATCAGAAACATTAATCTATACTTTACAGTTTTGAACATAAGATGTGTCTTCTAGAAGTCTTTTCGTTATTTCCACCAACTTGTCCAGATTGTTTAGGTCAATTTCTGCAATAATTGAATTTATGTAACCTTGGTCTTTGAGCGAACATTCTGGTTTAAAGAAACAGTGAATGGTCAGCAAGGAGAACAGTGGCTGATTGGATAGGTTGAGATGGAGATGATTTTACGGAATTAGAGCAATTCAGTTGTTCTACATTACTTAATTAGTATCAAATAACCTTCCAGTTGAAACCTTTATGGAGTAGACAATCCGTTTGAATGAAAGAGGAGATATTATTGTTCCTCACATTTTGACGTCTAGTGCAAAGCTTGTTTTTTATTTTTTATTTCAAAACACCACTGCATTATTGTATCGTTTAGAATGGAAACTTGCAATTTTGCACTCGACACTCACTGTAGAGTTTGACCTCTGTAACGTGCGTGCTGGATCAGTCTCTGTGAAAAGTTGGTGTGGGAATTTGCACTGATAGACGAGATTTGTTTCTCAGTAAGAATTAGTAATGTATGCTCTATTTTGTGCTGCCAATTTTGGTCAAACTGCGCAGTTGATCTTTACGCCAAAATTGTAGATCCACTCATAATCAGCTCAAAACGAAAAGACTAAACTACTCCGTCTAATTAACCCTTTGCAGATGCAAAATCTGCGTGATCGGGTTCGCGTTGAACGCGAAATCTCCAAGCTCAAATATTCGCTGTCAGTTGAGGCGCTCCAACTGAGTGATGAATACCAGAACCGAATAGAGGTAAAGCAACTGTTTTTGAAGCTCCGGGCAGCTCCATTTCACTCTCAATTTAGGTGTTGAAAAAACTAGGATACGTTGATAGAAGCGACATGGTAACGTTCAAAGGCCGTGTAGCTTGCGAGATCCACCATCAGGTTTATATTCTTCCACTATTGTAGAACTCGCCTTGAGAATTCTTTTTAGGAATTGTTAGTAACCGAACTGATTCTGTCAAAGAAACTCCATGAAAGGTCACCTGCAGAAGTTGCAGCTATGCTGTCGGCAACCACTTGCCAATATAAAGGTGGTGACGGACCGAAGTTTGAGAAGGATAGTGTTTTCGAGCAGGTACAGCTTGCAAGGAATTACTACGAAGCGCTGAGGTTATTGCATTTCCAGCTCAAAGAAGACGTGCAATCAACGAACGCAAAGATCGAAAGCGTGGCGAGTTCAATGCGAGTACGAGGCGATGATGTAGGCGACGAATTACGATACGATCTTATGGAAGTGGTCTATCATTGGGCTAGTGGAATGGTAAGTGATGTTCTAGAAGTGTAAAGGGGTACGGTATCCAAGGACGATAGTGTGGTTCCTTTGTTATCTTATGAGAAGTTGAAGCAAATACAAACGTAAGCTTGAGCTTTGCGCAGAAAATCAAATAGTGTCAGGCAGCTGTTTGTACTCGGAACTTACTTCTTCTTTCGTTGTTTCGTGATCGTAACGATAATCAAGTGTGTCCATCTAAGTGTATATGCCATAGATGAGAGCGTGGACACGACTGATATTTTTAGAAAGTTTTCTTATTTTATCGCCGAGAGCAGGAAAAAATTTGGGCTAATCGTTGATTCAGAAACGGAACTAGAATAAAGAGCATTTCTTCGGAAGTGAATATGTACATTCCAGCAGATAATGTGGGTGTCCAAAAAAAATGTATCCACTGTTTGACTGTTAATAACTCTCGTATTATGAGGTCTTTCGAGAAGCGGTAAGCGCCATTTTGTAGAGCTGGCTTCAACTTAGATTTACAGTATAGAGCGAATCGTCCATCTTTCTCCGTTAGTGTAGGATTACGGTGGAAAGTTGGAACATATGGTGCCACTGTGGAAAACGCTGCCGTTTCAAAATTTTTCAAAAAGATGGGAAAACTTATGTAATAGGGTTTTTAGGGACGCTGAGTTCAATGCTCAACTATTCGCAAGATTGCGAAGCTTTCTAAACTGTGTAACCGCACTTTTTAGGAACATTGAGAAAATGGCCGCTACTGCTGACCTCGCATAACTCTTCAGTGAAGCATCATAATAAGTTGGAACTTTACAGTTAGAATCAGCAGGCTTCAATTGGCCTAGTGTAAAAGTTTCAGGCTGTTTTCCTTTCTGAGGCAAAATATGTCCTTTCATGGCCCAAAACCCTCTTTCAAGTTTTCACCGTAATCCTACAGTTTTCCACAGTGGCACCATATGTTCCAACTTTCCGCCGTAATCCTACAGTAACCGCTTACCGCTTCTTGAAAGACCTTGTAGTAAGAGAGTTGAGTTATTAACAATCAAACAGTGGATACAGTTTTTGGGACACCCTGTGTATATGCGCGAGTCTTTTGTAACGGAATACAGGGCTCCTAAATTGCAGAGTCGTTTGCACCAGCGGTCGCGGACCGCGTCGCGCCCGTTCATTTTGCCGGCGCCGGCGCCATCGATCGAGGCGGCGCCATTGATGCCCGGGCGCGACGCGGTCGCGCGACCGTTGGTGCAAACGACTCTGCAATTTAGGAGCCCTGTATAAGCGTGCACACGGCGCACGGCAACAGACGACACTTTACTAGTAACGCGTCGGTTAAATCTTTTCTAGCGCAACAAACTGTGCAGCTGTTATACTCCCTCATACATCTTATATATAAAGCTGAATGTCTGTTTGTATGTATGTCTGTCTGTCTGTCTGTCTGTCTGTCTGTCGTCTGTCTGTCTGTACGTATGTTCCAAATAGAAAATTCCATCTCTGAACCGATCCGGACCAAACTTGGCACACATACACTTCGGGCCCCGGCGGGTGTCATAGGCTACTTTTCGTCATCGATTTTATCGATTTTTATCGATTTTTTGCAAAGTTTGAGCTACGGGGCTGGGAGTTCGCACAGGGGGGTAATCGAGCATGGGGATTCCGAATACAATATTGGTTTTCGGGATTATCGATTACTTTTATCGATTTTATCGATTTTTTTGCAAAGTTTGAGCTAGGGGGCTGGGAGTTGGCACAGGGGGTAATCGAGCATGCTGATTATCTCCAAGGGGGATGATCAGCATGCTCGATTACACCCCTGTGCCAAATTCCAGCTTCCTAGCTCAAATTTTCAAAAAATCGATAAAATCGATAAAAGTAATGGACGATCTTGAAAACTAATATTGTATTCGTAATCTGCATGCTCGATTACCCCCCCTGTGCAAACTCCCAGCCCCGCAGGTCAAACTTTACAAAAAAAATCGATAAAATCGATAAAAGTAATGGACGATCCTGAAAACTAATATTGTGTTCGTAATCAGCATGCTCGATTACCCCCTGTGCAAAATCCCAGCCTCGCATGTCAAAATTTACAAAAAATCGATAAAATCAATAAAAGTAATCGATAATTCTGAAAACTAATATTGTATTTGGAATCCCCATGCTCACTTCCCCCCCCCCCTGTGCCAACTCCTAGCCCTGTAGGTGAACTCTGCAAAAAAATCGATAAAAATCGGTAAAATCGACATCGATCGATAACGAAAAGTGGACTGTGACACCCGCCGGGGCCCGAAGTGTATGTGTGCCAAGTTTGGTCCGGATACGGCGGAGCCGGGTAAGCCAGCTAGTATCCGATAAAACCAAAAGAGAGAAGAAAACGCGTAATCTTACAAGTTGTGAAATAGCGCGCATGATGTGCAATACGCATATTGAGTTGCAAATAACTCGAGGATAGTACCTATATATAGCTCCCGTTCGGAAAAAAAATGGCTACGCTACGCATCTTCAATTGCTCGCTTATTTTTTTACGCGCAACTGTTCTCTACACCGCATTAGCAATATAAACGTCACATCACTGAGCTGTTTATTGCTGCCCAGCACTGACAATTCCACCCTCCAAAATCATTGAGAGAAGGAACTTGTTTGATGCTCATTTTCTTCTTGCGATTCCTGATCAACGTTTTTCTGAAGAAATGGAAGTAATGGGATCTCAAGTGTTGCTATATTGAGAGAATACTTGAAGCAATTCGATCAGAGTGTGTCTTATTCGCGTGGCATGATCTACACTTGTTGATACGGACAATCAAATATTTTCGTTGTTGATTTTTACGTTAAATGTGGCACCCTTTACATCACCACGAAATATTTATGTACAGTAGTCCAACATATACGCTACGTAATAATAATTGTATGGCAAGAATAATAATGCTATATCAATTGGTTCGTGCGAGGGTCATAACTGCATACCTGAGCGATGAGTCATAAATTGGCAGTTTGCCGAAAAGTAAGAACAATCGAGATCACTGCGAAATGCTGCTATTTTTTAGCCGTTCGCTGAGATTATGGCCATGACAGACGCTCAAGAAGGACTTATAGTGCGGTGCATACAGCGGCTCGGCGAAGTCTGCAAGGACGTGAGGTGAGGCAAATTCGGTACTTCTTTATGACTCCTTTGTAAAAAGGAAAAACTAAAACTGCTGTTTTGGACGTACAGTCAAAAAAGACACGTTTATTTATAGTCTTAGCGAAGATAATTTACGATCGGGAGTTATAATTTGTCTTGTCAAACCGAGGTTTTTTGAAAAAACATTACGGGTTTTCGGTAATGGGTAGAAACGTTTTTTAATGCATTCATCGAACGCAGCCACATTTGCCGAACTAATTTCCTAATCTTATGAGCATTATTCACAAAGAAAATACTGTCAAGGCCAATATCGAATGAAGCAATGATAGTGAAATGATGCTGATTCGAATCATGAGGCATTGTTTTTCTTTCAATTTCTTCACACAGAAATTAAGGTGATCCAATTTCGAAACGATGGGTTTTTTGGTGCCAATTACGTACAAGCGTGAGACTTTAACCGCAGTTTACGAAACCTATTTGCTAGAAATTAGAAAGTGCGCAGAATTTTTCAAACAATTTTTCTGACAAGGGAAGGATACTCGGTCGAAGTGGCCATTTGGAATGAGCTGTATATTAGGAAACCGTCCTCCGTAAGGCAAACTCAAAACTACTTTCGCTAGGTGCCGAGCGGTTTTGTGGGGGGAATTACAAGGCCATTTTCCTCCGGCGCAGCCAGCGCACCCAGTGATGGGCGAGGCGCTAGAATAAAGCAGCAGTGTGGCAGTGGCGCAGTGGCAACGCAGCGGACTACGAAGCAGATGGTCGAGGGTTCGAGTCCTGTTGATGCTATTTTGTTTTGCAGTTCTGTAAAAGGTCTATTGGGTGACAGCAAACGAGAAATACTATTTCTAGGCAGCTGAAACAAGCTATTTACTGCAAAAAAGTCACTACTTCTACAATAAGCTATAATCTTCTACAATATGTAAATCTGTGGAGGTTATGGTGTCACAACAATGGATTCAAATGATATATTAACATGTATGAAAAAAATTATTTATTGCATGAAAAAAAATTCGAGTCTCCTGTTCAGTACTGTTTTTCACCGACTTTGATAGGCAATTGTGAAGCTGCTGATTGTCATCGTTCATATTTTATCCGATGTGCGCGCTGCGAGAAGCTCTTCTGCTTCGAGCATTTTGTGGTTGTATTCCATACATGTTAGTATATCATTTGAATCCATTATTGTGACATCTTAACCTCCACAGATTTATATATTTTAGCAGATTATAGCTTATTGCAGAAATAGTGGCTTTTTTGCAGTAAGTGGCTTGTTTCGACTGCCTAGAAATAGTATTTCTCGTTTGCTGTCACCCAATAGACTTTTTACAGAAATGCAAAACAAAATAGAAGCAACAGGACTCGAACCCTCGACCATCTGCTTCGTAGTCCGCTGCGTTGCCACTGCGCCACTGCCACACTGCTGCTTTATTCTAGCGCCTCGCCCATCACTGGGTGCGCTGGCTGCGCCGGAGGAAAATGGCCTTGTAATTCCCCCCACAAAACCGCTCGGCACCTAGCGAAAGTAGTTTTGAGTTTGCCTTACGGAGGACGGTTTCCTAATATACAGCTCATTCCAAATGGCCACTTCGACCGAGTATCCTTCCCTTGTGAGATGCACTCTCGTGCATATTCTGGAACATGATCCAAATTTTGTGAACTTCTCTTTTATCTTACAAGTTGAACTCATTTGCCGTTTAGAAGCTGAAATTGAAAGCGACCTTCAAGAAGGGTTTAAATATCGAACTTTGTGAAAACTTTTCAAAATAACAAATTCTGCAATTACATGTGTCCCGTAACTGCGTCAAAACCTCCAATTCGGATCCAAAGACAAAAAAATTATGGAGGCATATACATATGGTATCGTGCACCATTTTGTGGCTTATGAATTCCTCTTGCAGACGGTTATGAATTCTTTTAACAACAAGTAAAAATGACGGTTCTGACAATACATTTGCATAGTCTTTTTGAAGTGTGATCGATTGCATTTTTGAGCATATCTTGCGAATTTCGCTAAGCTTTTACCTGAAATAATGAGGCTCAGACCATGATTTCGAATCAAGGTATGGTGATATTAGGTGACTCATAATTTTTTTATTGCTATTACAACCGTCGTCTTTTTGTAACTTTCCATTAGTTGATGCGACTTAAGTAATTATTCGACAGAGCAAAGCAAGTTCTACAAGTTGGCTATTTATTAGGTTGTCCCAAAAGTTCTTACGCCGCATCTGTAAAAAATCATAACTTCCTTGCCGCTCCATAATATATATTTTCTTACATTTACTTTCATCTGAAAGAGAAAACCTTTCTTTTTACAAGGATGCCTTTGGCGTGAGTAGGCATTAGAAAGTTCGAGAGCGAGAAGCAATTGAATGAAATTAGTCAAGATCGGCATTTTTCATGCTGGATCACAAAAAATTCTGAAAGTATTTCTGTTTGATAGAGAAAATTTTGCATATTACAGTGGTATCTTTTTCATTGATTGAAAGGAAGAAAATCGAGAAACTTTCGGAATTTCGAGCGAAACGAAAATCGTACCAATCGAGAGCAATTTTGATTTTCGTAATATTTCTGGATTTTCGGGTCTGCGTTTTTCGCGAAATTGACGAGATTTTAGCTCAGCTAGAAAGGGAAGGTTACGAAACCCATGTTCATGACTTTTCCGTCTTTCCTGTGACGTCTTTTGGCTTTTTTGAACATGCTCAAGAATTGCGAAACTGAAGGAATCTTTTTATTTGCTCCTAACTCTCGATCTGTTTTGTGTCAATTCATGGGAAAGATACCACTGTAATGTGCAGAGTTTTCTCTATAAAGCAAAAATAATTCCAGAATTTTTCGTGATCCAGCTTGAAAAATGTTGATCTTGACCAATTTCTTTCAACTGCTTCTAGCTCTCAAACGTTCTAATGCCAATTTATGGCAAAGGTACTCCTGTTAAGAAAAAGGCTTCCTCTTCCAAAACATAATAAATTTAGGAAAATTCATCGAGTGGCACGGAAGTCATGATTTTTGAAAATGCGGCGCAAGAACTTTTGGGACAACTTAATATAATCTGCCCAAGTCGTATTCCACTTGAAGTTTTGAGCTGAAATATGATAGCAGTCAAAAACGAACTTTGCTGTAAAATCGTATCTCGGCCTCAAAAAATCTTAAAAATTCCCCATCTATCCTATCATATGCTTGACACATCGAACATTCAGTTATACACTTTTGGTATTTTTTCCTTGGCTAGAAGCAAAGAAAAAATGATTGGAGTAAAATGGCAAACTTCGTCCTTAGAAGCCCTGAGCTTCTCCCACACACTGATCATACAGCTCATACATACAGAAGTACGACTATGTATTTGTACCATTTGTAGGTGCCCCAGTTCTCGAGAAATACTGATGTCTAGGGTAAAAACGGTAAAAAATTATGAGACACCCTAATACAAAATAAATATCTTGAGCGATGTCAGTCTCTTTTCTTGCCATACTCGAACTTGACCTCATCTATCGGACACTTTACATTCAACATTTTCTTTTGTTTGAACAAAATGTTATATGCCAAATGAAAGAAGAAGAAAAAGGTTTTCTAATGATACCGAACTTTCATGATAAACTTTCGATATACCGACAAAATTTTAATTCAAAGTCTATTAACGTAGTTTTGAGATATGTAGTAATTATCTCAGACTAAGTTTTAAAATTCAGGAATGCAGCTCGGATTGTTGGCGATCCAGCTTTGCACGAGAAGATGGAGCAGGTCAGCGCTGCTATCAAGAGAGATATCGTGTTTGCTGCCAGCTTGTACACGAGTATGTGAAGACCTCTGGTGAAATTTTCTGATTACTTTGCGACGGGTCATTAGAGTGCGAATAAATGCTTGAATTCATCAATGTTCAAAACAGCGTAAAATAACAAGTGCTACAAACATCGTATAGTGGTTTTACGAGTCGAGAGCAGATGGCCGTTTTCGTTACGGTCGGTGCGCTGCTCGCCGAATCGCCGTATGCGCGAAGTCGCTACTGTAGGTGTCGTTGGACCCCATTGTGTATGACTCAGAGGCTTATGCGATAGTTAGAGGAGGTGTGTAACACATGCTGGTGTCGTCGGGACAGAGAGAGCATAACCGGTTGCGCACGACCCTATGAAAGGAGCCATCGGCCGACGTCCGCCTACCACTACCGTTCTTCATCGGAAGCATCATGTTCGTTGTTGTTATTTTCGGTGAGTAATTGAAACGTTACAGTTTATTCTTGGCCTTTGCAAAACCGACGAATTTTGGCTCTGAAATTAGCAAGGAGCAGAGGATTACGTTCCAATTTGGTGTACAGCTGTACTAGCTTTGACCTTTTGGGCATACTTTTGTAATGAAAATCCAGTGCAAGACTCATTACCCCAAAAAGCTTAATGTTTACCTGAACTCTGCTTTTTTGGCTACTGCTATACAACCGTCTTCCTAAATCATCCTTCTTTTTCTCCCTATCAATGCAATCAGTTCCACATTCTGAGACATGCGGCTAAGGAATTGATAGCTTACACCCCCTATCTTCCCCGTTCATTCTGCCTCCTCAATCGAAGGGATACCTCTGGAGCGAAAATGGGAGGGTGTCGCGCTCTGCCCAGTGGTGATTTGCGAGGAGCCCCGGAGCACCAAAATGGGTGAAGTGGGAGGGCTCCGGAGCACGAAGTAGCAGACCCCCGCCATTTGCCCTCCGGAGTATCCCTTCGACTGTCTGAGTGTGACTAACGAATTACGCGTAGAAGTTTTGATTTTGCAGCATAAGCCTAAGTTTTTTTTTGCTATCTCACAAGATCCGAGTGTGAAATTCAATCTTGCCAGACTCCATTAATCGCATTCCGGTGGCCAAGACGCCTACCAAATGCAAGTCACCACTGCGAAGAGTTTTTTTGTGCTTCTGGAAGGTCATTTCTGCGCTGTTTCGCTTTGTCTAAGTTCGCCGATGTTGTAAATTGTGACATGCTTACGACTGGTGGGCGAGGAAAACAACGATAAACAAACAAAAGAAAGAAAACCACCTATGCATGACATGATGTCATCGCTGGTTTACAAGCATACCTTTCGATGAAAAAATTCTAAGATTCATAAATTTGTAATTTTCTGGATAATAATTATATCGGATAGGCAGTCAAGACTTTCAAAAGTATATAATCACAGATGATGACTTCTTTACTGTTTCTATTTCTGATCAGTAAGGAGTAGTTTCGATCGTATTTTACTTCTATGTTTCAAGCTAAGTGAAGGTTGAATACACTGCTCGAAAAAATGCTTTGTACCCCGTAGTTAGTTTTTTTTTACCAATTTCAGTTTTCCTTAATAATAAATTGCAGCAGTTTTTCTTCCCGTCGTGCTTTCCCAAGGAGGAGGAATGGCAGAACTGAAATCCATAACTGGAGATGAGCAATATACTGGCCAAGGCAATCCAAATGCTCCAATTCCACGACCAATGGGTTTCTGGGGACGACCGAGGCTTGTTTACAGGGACATAAATCATTGTTGAATGTCTTTACTAACCATCGCAATAGGCGAACAATTGCACTCTCTGGAGATTTTCGGAATCTTGTTGGTTTTCTGGCAAAATCTGACAAATCAAAAATTTTTTTCAAGCGATGGCTAGTATGCAACAATCTCTTCGTTTCTAGTGGTAACAGGAATTTTTTCAGATTCTCTCCAGTAGGATACACAGGAGCTTACATGGGTAACCCTTGCTACACTGGCGGGTATGGAGCCGCTTACGGTGGATACCTTTGTAATGGATTGGGAGGTGGATATGGAGGATACAGAGGATACGGAGGATTGAGTCGCTATACCAGCGTTTCTTACAGCCCCTACGGTTTGTGAGTATATACAGCCAATACTAACATCTTTGACATCGCTTTGAAGTGTTCACTAGCAGTTTTCAACACCCATCACCTTTTCCCTACCCATCCAGAAACCCTTGCACTCCGTTCCTTGGCAAATTCGGCACAGCTTAACCATTATACTTTCTCGTACCATTTGACGAACTATCTATAAGAAAAATTGGTTTCGCGGATCGAACTCTCCATTAAACTTAAGTAATAACTGAGTTTATTGACTGAAACCAGCTGCGAAGTATTCGTAGAACTGTAATTATGTAAAAATGTTGGGCATAACCTTTATTGTCGAATGAGAACTCAGAATCTAGTTCTCTCTTTTATGACGAACTTAAATAGTTTAATAATGGTAAAACAACCCATAATTATCTCGGTGACCAGAGTTTCTGAGTTTGCTCCTGTTTCTCTCGATGGGTATCTCTTTGCAGAGTAAAAAAAAGAATGTGAAAAAAAAGCGGAGTGAAATCTCTACTGTAGAGTAGATAGGTGTAACGGACAACTTTTTTCTTGCCCATTAATTTTTTTCTGCAACTCTGAGAACGTTATTTTTTTGAAATTTTAAGGACATTCGAAAACTGATTGCATGCTCGCGACCTTACCCTAAGTAGCAGAAGATAAACCCCTAACTTATCATCCTACCACTAACAGAATCCCCGTATTTGAGTGCAGTGTTGCAGATTTTATATCGGGTTGCTGTTATATGCGTGGGGTTGCCTGCCTGACTGAAATGAGGCGAAGAAGATCTCCGAATTGTAATAAATTTCTCACTTCATTCCGAGTCACTCTGAACTTGTACATGCTGATCCACTGGTCTCAGCAACCCCGAAAGTCATCCCTTTGATCGTCTGAAACTCCACTAATCCTTCGAGTCTGGATTATATAAAACCACAGAATTTCATCAGAGGCAAAACCTATGTGGAGCGCCTACGTCACTTCTTTTCATGATACGCTGAATGGGAAGAGAAACCGGTTGACTTAGAGCGCGAATTGAGGTGTCTGCTCTTCTCATCCGAGTGTCATAGCACAAGTGAAGGGTAGGCGATTCGGGAGTTTCGATGAAAACAACACTTACATCGCTGCCTTCGCTCCAATGCGTCGTCGTCTCACTACTAGTTTGATGTTTGCCCAATTGCGATGTCCTTGGATGGAGTGGTGGACATCTTCGGATGACGAATCCAGTCCATCCGAGTGAATTTGCAGATGCACACCTCAATGCGAAGTAGTGCGCGTTCGCTTATTGCTAATTGTCGACGACGTTCACTTGACTTAATGTGGTATGTCGGGGACAAGAGCAATTTCCTCGTAGCATCTTGCAATGGATGAAATTGCCGTATGTTGGAATTCGAACTGAGCGCCTAGAACTGAGCGTAGCTTCCGTAATTGCAGAAAATTGGGAGCTCTTAGCTAAGCTCTCATATAGCTCCCAAAAAATGTATCGAATTTATTGCTAATAACTTTTTAGCCGAATAGCTTCGCGAACTTTTTGTAGTGTATTGTAGGGCTTGTTTCATCTATACTCTCCAACTACATATATCTACGATGCAAAATAAATCACGTATCTCATTATCACTGTAGGATTACGGTAGAAAATTTGAGCATAATACATCATTGCAAATAAGTGTACATTTTAGAAGATCTCTCAAACGCTTGAAAACTTTTTGGTAAAATTTATGGTAATTTTGTACATGTCTGCAGAGCAGTTCAGATAGCTTGGGATTTTCTAGAAAATCATTTGAGAAAACCGCTGTGACGCCTACCTGTCCTTACTTTTGAACCGGGCTACAATACGAAAAGCATGTGCTTAGAATCAGGAGTATTTATTAACCTAGTGCAAATTTCCAGTTATTTTGGACAATATTTTAGGACCCTGTCATGTTATGCTGTCATTGGCGCATAAACTCTTTCGAAAGTTCCTACCGTAACGCTACAGTAATGAGAAAAGATTCGTGATCCATTTTCTGTTATAAGTCCAAGTTGAAACCACCTACATTATGGTCTGCTAAAGGTCCATGGGAGCTACCCACCAGACATGAGATTTATAGCAATCAAAGTATAATTCTAGATTTTTTTGGACCTTCGATAGTATGCCTTATTTCTCAATGGCGACTATGAGTGCTATAATGAAGATGAAAGTGTCATAAAGTTCCAAAAACTAGTCGCTGTATTCGGTTCTTAACCTCAAAACTCACTCACTTAGAACTAATCGAACTACTGAACGGAGTGCAATACCCAGTTTCGACTATATAATTTTGATTGCCACAAATTTTTGAGACGAGTTACTGTTCAAAAGGCTCTCCATTTGGTAAATTTTCCTTCAACCCGTCATAGTGATGCCTTTTCAGTCACACGAGTGATAATTGCTTCCAATTAACGATTTTTCACAGAAGCGTGTAATAACACCGTGTAATTTTCACCACTTCAAGAGCCTTGTCTCGCTCTCATAAATCGAATTGTAAAAAAGAGTTTTCAATTCCAGGGGAGGATGGACGAGTTCCTTTCGGTGATCCACTCGCTAACGCCATCTCGGGTGTTGCTGATCCGTTGTCCCAGCCCTCTCGCCTTTCTGCCGTCCATTCTTCTCTCTTTGAACCGTCGCCTTTTGAAAACACCTTCCCTTCCAGAAACCCTGGCGCTTTTGGCACCTCCACTGGAAAAATTAACACATTCTCATCTCTTAGCCCATCTGGATTATCCGGTTCAGTACCACTTTCTCAAGCTACAGGCGGCGGATTCTACACGGGAAAAGGGAACGATTTCGTTGGGCGCTAAACTCTACACAGATGTGCACATTGTATTGTTGACGAGCTTTAATGTTATAAGTTTTATTATTATTACTCTGAAATCAATAAATAATCTCGATATGCTATCAGCTATCTACAACGTATAAGCAGTGTAGCGCTAAGACCGCTATTTTCATAAGACAAGTGAGATGTTGGAGAGCTTGAGATCACAATGGAGCTGGTCCACAACGGGAAAACGGGGGAAAACATTGAGGCTCAGCGATCACAAAAATGAATAAATAAATAAACGAAATAGACACCGTGGATGAGCTTATTGGGGCTGTCAACCGAAAGAGATGATTATTATTGCTGGCACCGGTGAGTGATTAACGAAGAGATTGGCTGCGGATTATATACGCATCTGTGCAGAGCGCGTCTAAGGCGAGATGGATGGGATCCATGACTTGTGGTCTAGTTTATAGCTGGATATCCTATGTCGAGCGAGGCTGGAAAATTTAATTGTATGGAATGGACCAGAAGGGGTAGGGATGGTAAGTAATGGGCTTACCCGGATTATAATTGTAGACATGCGGTCTTTCACTGTCGAGCGGAGCATTCAAGAGGTGCGTTAGCGGACGAGGATCTGTTGGCTGCAGTGGCAACCAACATGGCTGGCCAGATAGAAGAGTGTGGTCTGTAAAAACACTATTGAATTCAACAGAATCAAACACCGGTTGACCAGGGTCTATTGGTCTTACTTAATAATTTATGAATGACTATTGCAATTTGAGATGATGGAAACGGATGCGCAGAAATAGAAGTTGAGAACTCGCTCTGTCATAAAGAGAACGCAAATCATAAAAATTAGATGAACTACGCCTAACCCGTGTTGGTTGTAACATTAGGTCGATAAATGCATAAGTCATGCACCAAAAATAAATTCATAATCTCCACTTTCAACGAAATTTATTACTTCAGTATATACAAGATAGAGAAAATTTTGGACTTTCCAAAAGTATTTGTTATATATACTATTGTCATATCGCAATGATACATGCTAATGAAGAAATGCTACCACAAGTGTTTTTTTTTTGTTTAATTTCGCTCGCTAAAACTACTAAAACGCTACTAAATTCTTATTTTAGTTTTGCTTTTGGTTTCGTGACATTTTTCCCTTTAGCTGTGAAGCTCGTGCTGGTCGGAAGTTTCTACGACTATTTATGATTTTCGAATTTTTTTAAAACTTCTTGCTTTCAAGTCAAAAAATTTCTAAAATATACGTTGTAAAACAACTTTTGCTATAGTTGTAGGCTTATAAAAGCTGACTGTGCTTCGAAATTTCTTGAACATCTTCAAGACCAATTTTTTTTGTGGTGCAAGACTTATGCAGCAACCTCAGTTGTACTACCTCTAAATCATTATGCTCTGAACCACCTTGGAGGTTGCAAGAGAATGTTTGCCCTATAAATCACCTAGAAAGCTACACAGGCAGTAGTGCTAGCATTCAGTTTGATGTATAAGCTTTGTGGACGAAGACAATTGTCTAAGAGTGCAAGTATATTCCTTCAATAGCTGTAAGCGTACTTCAAGTGCATTACTAAACCTGCTTGGCAAATTTAGCAGAAATCATGTCAAGATGTGAAATCGGTTGTGCTATTTTAAAAATTCATCAGTGCAGCGAAATTCTTTGGAAGGAAAGAGATAGTAGAACTGGGTAGCCGTGGAGCTCCATTACTGAAATGAATGGTGAAGATGTTTTGAAACCCAATGAAACTGTGTTATCGATGAAAAAAGTAATGATTTCTGAAATTTTTGTTCGTAAAATGCATATTACTGACAGAACATATCCAGCCGATCTATAACCAAAGTTGGCTTGCAGTTAAAGTGCAGATTCAGCGCAACCCATTAATCATGACCACTATTATCAAACTAAAAAGCATTGCTGTCGTAGATAGATTCGCATATCACTAAAAATTCACGAGAAGTTATGATCATATAATTGAGAGCCATAAATCACTTACAGTTCTCATAGTTTGGCGAATAACGAAGAAAGTGATTTGTGGTTTTCATTATTTGTCTAGAGCAAATTTTGCAGCAAAACGCAAGACCAACGAGAGCTTCAGGGGATATTTAGTTGCCGTAAAGACCACGGAAACCGTTAAAAGCATGATTTTTTAGGACAATTTGAAAAAAAAATTCCTTAGTGTCGGTGTGAGCAAATAAATCGCAAAATATGCAAAATATAAGTTGTTCCTAAGGGTTTCTCATAAAAAAGCACAATTTCTATAAAAACATACCCGCAAGGCTGACGGTGACTTGACCGAGTGCATTGTTTTCAGTGAGACGATCGTAATCCCAAACGGAGAACTCTAAGTAGAGCGAGGGCAATGCTCCAGGCATTACTTGCCATTCAACTATTTGGTTCCACTCTGGATCTGTTGAGCACGGAACGAAGCGAGTGCGACGTTTATTTGACACCCTGAATTCAGTCATTGAGGGCAAAGTGAGTAAATTATCATTTATGAGAGTTCGAGACTCACTTTCTGCCCGGAAGCAGGTAGATCTTCACGAATGGATTAGGGGCTAAGCGTCGGGCAGGGTCCCTCATTTTTAGGCCGCGGGCAGCTACGATTCTGACGATGACTCTTGAAGTGGGGCGATCGTAAGAGATGGCCACTTGCAGATAGCCGAGAGCATCCTGGAACGTCTTAGATTTAGAAAGGAGTTTGTAAAATAGGCTCGTAAAAGTACATCCAGTTCGTAGATAAAAAAATTTCGTACTCAGGGGTTTTTTTTGGAAATGTTACTCTTTCTTACCTGTGGTTTATTGGGCCATGCATCCTCCCCATAATCACAATCTACATTGTCGTAAATACGACTAGATGGATTTTGTCTGCCAATTGTACCATTACGACGATGCATTGGAACTGGTGGAGCTCTATCTGGTGAAGCATCTGCAAAGAAAAATGATGGCCCATGCTATATGTACTCGGTTGCAAAGGAACACTACCTTTTATTCGCAAGGTTTTCGGTCCATTTGACATAGATATAAGGTTGTTGAAACGATTTGGCTCTCTATTTATGGTAGCATATCTGCTCAAGTTGGAGATACGGTGGGATTTTTCTCCTTCTCTGCAAATTACGGATCAGTACAGTATCGATACTGTAGGAAAAGAGATGAGCAAACTCACGACTTCAAGATGATTTCGACTTCTCCGCTACTTGAATTTACGATTCTTTCCACTTCTTCAAACGTTTTGCCATTGAGCAAAACTCCATTCCATTCAAGAACTTGGTCACCTGCAAGTTAACGATAATTTATGAGTACTTATAGCTAATCATTTGTGATTTAGCGTATTGCACATGCGCTACCTGACGACTCAAAACCTGCTTATTCTCAAAGATTGTCCCTTTTCCTTCCTTATCTGTTTTGATCTGATGCTATGCATTTGTTGATGTTCTCATCCCTACAGATTAATACGCTAGAGTAGGTTTTACTGAAGAGTTACTAGTAAATTGTCGACAAATGCCGTGCATAGCGTGCAAACTCACATGTTAAGTAACAAATGTCTCGATACACTAATTTGATATGATTATTACACCATTCTAGCCTAAATTTTTCAGCAAAAAGGAAGTTCTCTTTTCGGACTTTTTATAAAAAAATTCTCAGGCCTAATTTTTTGTCATTTGTTTCAAAGTTTGGAGGCAAGACAGAAGTATTTAATAAACCAACCTTCTTTAACTTCGCCCAGAATTTGATTGTACTTTGCCTGGTTCACAGCCGACACAAAAGCACCGAGCTCTCCGCTTGGCATCCTTTTTCCGCCAACAACTCGAATTCCAAGATCTGAAGAAAGTAATTACCCACATGACATTAATAAACGAGATTTTAACCTACCATTATAGATATTATGATCTTTATAGCGTCTAGTCAACAGAATTCGCTTAATGGTCGATGATGCCAACTCCTGCGCGGTTGCTGAGTTGGTTGTGCGAGTTCGAGCGGAGTCCTTAAACAGAGCTGCGGTTATTGAAGCAATTTATCATTGACAGCTATAGGCTTTGCGTCAAAACGTCCTGAGGCGAAAGAAGAGAGGGCAGAGCTATCTCAAGAGGGTTCGAGAACTAACCTCGGCAAGTCCATTGGCTCGAGTTGAATAATCAGTTGGTTTGTTGGCACTGTAGCGATAGTTGAGATTATTCGTGTCTGAATTTGCATATATTTTTTGATTTGAAAAGCACAGAAAAATACGCGAGGGAGAAGGGATGAATGATGTTTTGCACAGTGCACATTATAACTTTCAAACTCTAGCTATGCTGCCTAATTTTATTTTATGAGCTTAGCGCTTAGAATTCAGGCGCCAACCCTCTCGTACTCACTAAAATTGCACGTTCATGACTTCATCACTCTCAGAAGCGCTCAACTCGGCTGGCGAGGTGCCAGGAAGCGTAGAACGACGGCGATATCCGTGCGGGCGTGTGCTCTTCTCTCCAGAACTCTATACGTCAGAGCGATGTTTCACGCATCGATCCACTTCTCAACTACCTCCTCTAGGCCCTGGTATGTGTGTGGCGCATGAGTGTGTGTGTGAGTCTGTGAGAGTCTCCATGCCTCTGGCTACCCGTCTGCTGTGTGTCTTACCTTCTGCTCAGCAGCGACATCCTATTGACCGCCGCTCTTCTAAAACAACGTGCGTCCTTCGGGCAGATAACACTTATGCGGCCGAGACGCAGACGAAGTGCGCGTCGTTTGCAAAAACTGGGCGTTCTCCGATGTCTACGAGCTGTTGACTACGTACTTTTCAAACTGGCTAGTTAACTATTCTACAAGCTCTAGTCAACCATCCAACAAAGCAAATAAAAAATGCTGTTCTCCTCTTGTATATATCGTTATTTCAACACTCTGCAACATGTGCTCTCTCGACACCATTTCGCGTTTTGTACAATTTATTCATAATAGATCTCTATCAATAAGTTAAATGTGCACTGTTCAAATCATCATCACATAAAAATGGCAGCAAAAAAGGAGCTGGTCATCGACCGTCAACAAGGAACGAAGGGCTGGGCACGTCGTCGTCGTCGTACCAACCTGCTTGACGTCGTCTTCCGGCGGTGGCGTACATCCTCGTCAGCGCATCCTCGCGCGGATACCGGGCGTCGTAGGCGGAAGGCACAATGTTACCGGACCAAGTTCTTGCGGCTGGTCTCGCCATGTATCCACTGGGGACACTGTGCGAGAGGGCCGGCGGGTAGCTGGATCTCGAAGGCGGTTGATACTGCGGCTGGTAGTACGCGGGTGTCTGCTGCGGTACGGGTTGCATGTACTGACCGGGGGCGAGTGGACGAGCATACGGATCCTCAGGCATCTCCGTAGGAGCAGTGCGCAGAAGTCGCTGGCGGTACATGTTGCCGTAGTCGAGCGAGTAGTTCGGCGGCCGTGCACCATAGTTGTTTTCGCTTCTGCTGTACACCTGCGGCGCCTCGTACGTCAGTGGTGGTGGCACGGCCGGCTCCGAGAACGTCAACGATGGCAGAGGAGCCATGTAGGGATCACTGGGTGGCGGCTCGTATCGGAACGGAGGTGCGGAAGACGGCGGCATTGACAGAAAATTTCTGGAGGGATCCTGTTGGCTCAGCAAACCACTTTGAAACTGGCTGTTCAGGTAGTTCGCGTACCGCGAAATCATGTCCTCTTGTTGCGATCCGAGAGGTTGAGCAATATTCACATTTGTGGTGTCGCTTGGGTACGAACGTCCCGACATGTAAGGGGAGGTGTAGGCGAGAGGATCAGCTCGGTCTATACCCATTTGGTCCAGGTAAGAAGAACGAATGTCGGTGGGATGTCGATATCTGGGATCGATGATGTTGTCAGAGTGCAAATCGAGCATGGATCTGGACGCAGTAGCAGTGGGTCGAGCTCCAAACGACTGTTCGTAGTCAACATGGATCGGATAGGTATGTCCCAAGCATCTTTCGTAGTTCCTCGGCAATGAGCCATAGTTGTAGGCATAGGAAGTGGACGGCTCTCGCACAGTGAAATCGCGGGAAAGCGGCTCTCTTCTGCTTCGGGAAGGGTAGTCGATGCGAGGAAGAGATCCGTAGTGAGGCACTAGCGATGAATAGTCGGAAGAGTCGAGTGCGAGTTGCGAATGGTAGGCTCTGTAGGGCATCGTCTCAGAAGGTAGCTCAATATTGGCGAACATCCTCTCGCGTCTGCGCGCTAACTCGTCCATCAGCTGTAATCGCCTCGTCTCGCGGCTGAGCGGATCGTCATCGTGGAACTCGAATTGGCGTCGATGTGCTCGTTTTGCCTTCTCGGTGAGCTCGTTCAGTTGACGATCGTAGTCCTCAAAGTACTTCTTAGTTGCTTCTAGCAGATCGTTTGTTTGCACATTCGCATTCGTTCGTCCGCGACGGCTGGATGGTTGTTCTGTTGAAGTTGACGTCTTCGGAATACTAGTTTCATAGTCGACAGAAGCGAATGGCTGCTCCGTTTGGGTCTCGACACTCTTTGCTCCCGCGCGGAAGTCTCTGTAGAGTGGTTTTCTTTCAGCGTCCAGCTGGGCTCGAAGCGAAGTAGGGGGAAGGGAGTAGAGTCGTGTAGCAGGAACGGGCATGCTTGACTGGACTGCCACTGAAGAGGTAAGATGGGGTTTGTACTGAAGATGGGAGGAAGTGGAAGTGGATGGGAAGCGAGAGTCGAAGTCGGACTTCTGGGTTGCCACACTGCAGGTAGGTTTCGGAATCACTCGTGCACCGCTGATCAGCTCCATCGGAAGTAAGCAGGGAATAACCTTCGGCGTGTCGTCTTCGCGAGCCTCGGGCAACAAGCCTGTCACTAACATCTTGTGGACGATGTACTGTCGCTGGTTGGCTTCAATCTCGCAAGCTTCGAGCGCTTCTCGACGTCGTGACAGCGCTTCCTTGAGTTCTTTCTTGAGCAGCACACGGGCGAGGGTATTGGGAATTTTCGGGGCATGGGAGGGCTTGGATTTGGCGAATGAGACGGGATGACGCAGAGCAGTTTTCGGCTTGGCAGTAGGTTGGAAAGAAGCACCAGGAATAATGGCAGGGTCAATAGATCGAGCAAGGGAAGTACCACTAGCAGCAGAAGAAGGACGTGAATAATCGGGCAGATGACCATTTGGCAGTTTTTCAGGAGGAAGAACGGTTTGTGTGCAGGTAGAGCTGACACCGAATATAGAGTAACTGGATGAGGTAGAAGGAATCGGAGCGCTGGCGTTGATGTAGACCGGAGCCGGGGAGATCTGTGCTCGGGCGCTGGCTGTGGCTCGTTTCAGCGAGTCTGTCTGAACGGCCAGCGGGCTCATGGACTGTGGTGGCATGCTGATAGGTGGCGGCGCGTAGACTGTCGATGGCGCTGGTGCCGCCGATGTGTAGGACTGAGTGGCTGAATAGGAGGAGTATGATGGAATGGATGGTAATTTGCGACGACCCATCTCCTGACCGACCGAGCTGCCATCATCCTGCAATTAAACAATATTCATGATGGTGAAAGGAATTGGATGAATTCTTTTGGAAAAGTTACGTGAAGCTACAACTGAGCTATATCCCAATGGGCCATCAGCGTTTGGAAACCAAAATTCAAGCAGTCCAGTCAGTGAACCAGAAACTCATGCATTATGCAAGCTAGCCGAATGCGAGTCTCGTGCTTTTAGAATTATTTCATTTCGACGGTTCAATGGTTGCAAAATTGTTTGCCAAATGAATTTAAGGACAAAAATGTATTTGCTGGTGTAGCATTCCTTAGCGCCAAGCGTGATTGGATTAGGGTTGGAATTTATGTAAGTGAGCAGTTTCGGTGAGTATCACAAGGAAAAGTGCGAAGGGGAGGATTGCGGCGCAGAGAGTCCTTTCGGCTATTGAGGAGGCAGAGCTTTTCCCCTCTTTCGCTCGAAAGATCAATACCACTGCACCAGCTAACCTAGTTATGCAAACTCCATCACCATCTATAGCCTTGTCATGCATGCTTGCGTCGGTGGCTGTTCTTTTTTCCTACGATTTCCGGGAAAAAATAATTTGAAATCGTAATTAAATGAGGAAAATGTGTGGAAAAAGCTTGACATGATCAAAAAAGTAAAATTATAGCCACGAACCGGTGTCGGCGATGCACATGCCTGGCGGAAACAGGAATCTGGGGACGAAAACTAGGGAACAGCAGAAAGCACGTGGAAGGGGTTCGGCTGGAGAGCAGCAGCAGCAGGGAGCAGGCAGACCGCCGCGGGCACGGGGGGCGGAGACTCCGCTGCACTCCCTCCGCCCTCACCCGCGAAGCTGCATCCGCATATTGATAACCCTCGGCTGTGGTTCCTGCTGTCCTGCCAGAGTGCTCTCCGACCCCCCAGGGCCACCCCCCCCCCCCACTTGCACTTCCCAGATGCTTTCGCCTGCACAGTAGTGACCAGAAATGATTACCACAAAAGCTGGCAAATCGACAGCGGTGTGAAGACTTCGAGAGAATGTCCTTACGTGCTCTCGCACATCGATCGGCTTCGAGCGCATAATCCTCTCGAAGTTGCTTTAGGGAAAACTATAGTGGGGCGAGAGGATTCCGTTCGGGATTCTGCTGAAGCTGAGCTACATCGGACACATTCACCAAGTCGCCTTTTCTATTTATGGAAGGTTCTTGGGTCATTTTCTGCGGTCTCAGATTTTAGCTGTGGAAAGTTAGAGTAAAGAACAGCGGAAGGATCTTACTTTACAATTCAATTATTCTCAAAAGATTACATTTCTTAGGCACATGCTTTGGGAGACAAATCAGGATTGTGATGCTTATTCGCAAAAACAATCGAATTGGATCTGATTGACACAACCTGAGGAAATTGCTAGAATTCCAGTGCATGACACCTCAACTAAAAATGAACAACGATATATGCATAGAAATGCAAATCGTCACCATAGATACGGACCTAAAAATGCGTTAGCCCTCGATGTATGAAATTGATTAAGTGTTCTTTTTTTCTTGCTTAGCAAAGCGGCAACAGACAAGTCCCTGTGAAAACAATGCTCGCGAACGAATGTGGTGTTGGGTGACAGGATAGTGGGAAGGGAAGGATCTGGAGCTCGACTTGAAATAAGCAGATGCAGATGAAAAGGTGCCGAGAAGAAAACAGAAAACACTGAACTTGTAATCGGATAAAGTTGCCACACCCCCTGTCTGCGGAGAAACAATGGAACGGGACTAAAAAATCTCATCTGCCAGCTGAAAAGACAAGCGACTGCATAAATAAGTGTGCAGATAACGGACAGACCAAAGTTCAGAATCCTGGGTGCCTTTTCTCTTTAGCTACTAGAAATGATTATGATTTACGCGTAGAGTCCCCCTATGCCTCTTTGCCGTAATAAAACTAGTAGCAAAAAAATGTGCAAAATTCCCTGCTCACCTCCGAGATTTCACGCAACCATTTATACGATGACCTCAGCTCGTCAAACGTATTCGGCAATTCGGATGAGAGCGCATCAACGGCTGGAACTTCTGTGGTACGAACGCTAGTCTTCGTTGGTTCTGGAGGTTGCACTTGATGTATTTTAGCGCCACTGAAGACGTCTGACGCGATCATCATGCCGGGCGAACGCTTCAGCCCTCTGAAAAGTGCAACCGATCAAATTTCAAAAGCCAAAAAATCGTCGATAGCGGCGTACCTGGGCGAAGTGTCGCCATCGGTTTCTGGATTCGCTATGACAGACTCCAGAGTGCTGCCAAGTGCTCGTGACAACGGTAGCACCATCGGACCAGCGTCGCTGGCGGCGGTCGTGACAACCGCCGCGGATGTCGTGACCGGCGCTTGCTCTACCGTTGTGCTGCTGGTAGTTGTTACTAGAAGAAAGCATTTTAGTCGTATTGGAATTTGCTGGTCCGTCAATTTATGTCTCGTGAATTTTCTTGCAAATCGTAGGGAAGAGATTGAAATTTTTTGGAGTTTCGCACGAAGTTTTTCGAAGCTATTTCGCAATTTCATGGGAATGAAACTTTTAAAAATTCTACAATTTATAAAATTGGTGATTCATCCTGCACTTCGACCCAACAGCTTTGAATTCGGCACAACTAGTGCGCAGAATTTGAAGAAATCCTTCCGCGAACAGGAAGATTTTTTCTTGAATTTTTATAATGTTTACAGAATAGTAGGACGTTTTGTCGCTGATTTCTCTTTGTTTTTGTTTCTTCTCTTTTCCTGGTAACAGATGAATAGAAAGATATGAATAAATTGCATAAGTAAACAAACAAATGAGCAGACAAACAAATAAAACATCAACATCATTCTTTGCGGAAACAGCTTGTGCACTTAGCAGTAGGGTGATATATTGTACATTGCCGTTTATTTCGTACATTTTTGTCTTTTAGTACTCGTTAAGCAAGAAATACACAGTGGAATGCAAGCGAAAATTTTCCACTACCGTAGCTTCGAGAACAACGTCTCGAAAAATTCAGCATGGAAATTATGAAAGAGGAGAAGGCCAATGGAAGCTGCTTGCGAATGCCAACTAATCAAACAAAAACGCCAGACATCAATGCAATTTCGAATCGTTCCGCTTCATCTAACGGAAAATCTCGTGCAAATCGAGAGATATTCTTCTCTTGCATAGCGTGAGCACAAATTCTTCCCACCCCCAATATCGAACAAAAAACCCGCTTGCGTTTCAAGAATGCATTCCAGGAAAGAGAGAATGTGCAAAAAGTTTTTTTGGCGGGGATGTTGCCGAGGCAAAACTGAGGGCTATTGACAATGGACCCAGCATTTATTCCAGCTGAAAACAGAGAATATGTGCGAAACACAGCTTAACGCTTGACAAATCGTTGCAATGTGCACAAAGTGAAGCCTTGGTGCAGGCACAGAGAAGTGCCATCCAATCCTAACTGGATCCATAACGGCTGCTAGGAAGCTGCGCAAGTACGAATTCATCAATCCCGCAGTCGGAGGGCGAAATTGTAAAGCGTGGAGTAGCAATGATGTCATGCAAGGATGATTCCTAGTTTTTGGGCTATGTACGAACTTGCAAGTTGTTGTTCAGTTGCATATTATTGCCGATTGGAAATTACGAAATGAAATACATTTGGTAACCTCTGAATTTCTTTAGAAAAGAACACGAAGCAATAATGACTCAGTTAAGGATTATGAAAATATTTAGCGTCATGACTATCCGCACATCGTGCTAACAGGCTAGCCACTGAAAGGAAAGTTGGAGGACTAGGAGCTTGATTAGAAGGCAAATTGGCTCTTTATGCTTGTTTTTTCCCTTAATTAGCCTACAGAGCAGCAAAATCATCTATTGGAAGAATAAACTTTCGATTTTGCTGTGTCAAGCAATTTTTAGAATGGGATAGGCCACGGAAAAATTCTCGCAATTTTTGCTTTTTTGTTATAACTGGATCGGCTCTAATTTACGCGTGGCGCAATTGCACAACCTAAAAATCCACCGCACGCGCATTTGGTTGAAAGCTATTAATCCATAAATTTGCAGTTACAGTTTTCCTTGTTTCTCTATTATTTGAAAATTCTGTCCCGAACATACATTTTGAATCAACTGGCTGCCGCCTGGAAGGCGGAACTTCGTGACCTACTTGAGACTGGGTGATGATCCTAGAGCACGCGCGCGAGAGAGACGCAGACTGCGTTGCGGGCGAGCAGCCTTGATTGTCACAAAGCCCTGCTTTCCAGCCGCCAAGCCAGTTGAATCAAAGGTTGACTCATTTATCTATTTCTAAACATAGATAAGAGATGAAATAAGGATAATGATTATCCAAAAATATGGAAACTAGGACAAAGCACTATAACTACAAATCAAAATGAGCATGCATCTTCCTTCCAATGCAGGTGCATATGATGCAAATGCACTCACTTGGCTAACCTATTCGACTAAACACTTTATTGGGAGCATCTCTATTTGGATATATTACAAAACTACAAAGTATCACCGGGTTGTTTTGATGAATGGAAGGTAAACACGAACAAAGCACAAAGTTCTATTTTACCTCCAACAAAAAATAACAAAGTTCTTATTGATTTATTTTTCCAGAACTCGCAATTTCTATGGCAAAATAGCCGCGAAAATTATTGCAAGACATCGTGAACGCGCATAAATCTATTTTAATGGATAGTTTGGGGCGAGCCTAGCCAGCTTTACGCCTTGAGGACTTTCACACAATTTCATCGATAAATTTTGATGAACCGAGGCAAAGAAAATCAAGCATCGATTAGATCTGATCAACACCATAAGTGCGAAGCTCTTACTCATTCCGTTCTCCTCAAATCTGCAACATTTGTGACAAAAAAGTCGCAAAAAATTATTAGCCGCAAAATTAAAAATTATTGCAAGGCATATGACTGGCATATATCTATTTTGGTGGATAATCCTCTGACATCTGAGCCTGGCCAGCTTTGCGCATAGTTAACGATGTTTAACGACCACGCATACGCTAATGCTCCCCGCCACACCTCAGCCAGAGCTTAGCGCCCAATATGGGTTTGCTGCATAAATTGAGAGTGCTTGAATGTGAGATTAGAGCTGGCAGCGAGCCTGGCACACGCTCACGCTCTCTGCCATCGTCTACGCTCAATTAGCGTTTCGACGTTTTTCTGCCCTCTGACGCTAATAAATCTTTTATTTAGCCATTTTCTGGCTGCTTTGCCTTGAAAAGAGTTGCCCTTTCAGCCAAGTGGGAGCGCAACAAAGAGTACACTTCCTTTGTTGTTGGAAAGGACGATGCCAGAATCATCCTTAGAAGTAAGGTTAGATGAGATAGCTAGGAACAAAATCTAAGAAAAATTGAGATTGAGGTTTCAAGAAGTTTAGGACGTCACATAAATTTGTTACAAATACTTCGTTTGCCTCCGGAGACCTCAAAATTCGGTTACGTCTTATATATGGTTGGATGGCATAGGGAAGAAGGCTCCAATGGCATCATTGTCGCCTTTACGAGCATACCCTTCGACAGCCCGTCAACCTTCATTTTTTCTTTATTTTTTGAAGACTCGTTCTTCTTTTTCATTCAACTCTTTCAATCGACTACTGGGAAGCATGCGTAGAATTGAGAAGGAAGTTAGGAAGATCGAGCTCTACGACATAGCAAGATAAAAATATGCCAAAAATCGGCTGAAAAGTTCCAATGTTTGAATTTCTTGTGTGTGACATGTATGTCGAAAATCACTTCCACATATTTTAGAAATGTGGAAAAATCCTGAGAGGTTGCGAAGGTTTTCTTCCATCTGTGAAAAAGTATGTGACGATCTTATGAGATTAATTTAAAAGAAAACTCGAACGATGCAAAAAAAGAGCTGACGCATTCTATATGCTTCAGAATAACAATTGAATTTTTTAGAATTATTTCCACTGCATAAATATGCATAGCAATAGGCGAAAATGTACATCAATGAGCAAATATTTTCTTCACTGAATGTAGTGTACTTTTTTATGAAGTGAGTTCACCGAAGTAGTGAGTAAGTTGTCTAAACCAATCCCAATTTTAAAAATTTAATGGCTAAGTAAAACGCCACAAAGCTTTGAATAGAGGGAGATTTCCCATTATGTTCGAGAATGGCTTTACGAGGCCCATTGGAACGAGCATTTTGTGAAATAGGGCACTTCTTTCGCAACGAGAAATATGCAAAATTTTTTTATACCTGCCACAGGCTGCGTGAACGACCTCTGATTGTAGTAGAGAAGATTTGGCTTGGAATGCTCGGAAGTATAAACGGAATCAAGCTGGAAACGAATTTTTTCGTTGAAAAAACCGAACAGCTTGGAACAACCACATACCAAGGATTCAATATCAGCCATGGTTTTATCAATGGAAGCGCTGATCGAAGCCGGAATGTCGGAGATGGTGGTGATGGTCGTAGTTGCTGGGGCAACTGTAGATATAAAATTTTAGATATTCACCCTATTTTGTAACCAGAATCGCAAACCAGTATAGGATGAAGATGAGGTGGTGGTGGAGACTGGAGAAATTGCTGTGGAGAAGAGGAACGATGAGGTGGTAGATGGCAACGGTTGCGATGTGGACACTGGAGAATGCGCATGACTCGAGTAGACATGACTGTCTACCGTTGAAGTCACTGATCGTGCTAAAAATTTGATAAGATTGAATCAGGACAGCGTAAATAATATCAAATGTCCTATTGAGTTGGGTTTTTGAGCTAACAACTGCGTCTAGAGTTGTCCGTGCCAGCGCCGTACCGGAGCCGTGCCAGACCCGTGCCGAAGTAGCTCGCGAAAATGGCGCGTGCACATGTTCCGACATATCACGGTTGACACGGCTTTGGCACGGCGTTGGCACCGCGGTAGCACGACTATGGCACGGCTTCCCCACAAAGGCAACTCTGGCCGCTGCTCAGGACAAGTTTTGACTAAAAATGAGCTTACGTTGGCCGAGAAGGCTAGAATCGAAGCTGATTATTGTGTAAGCAGTCGTAGCCACAGCCGTCGTCGAAGATGTTGTCGTAGTCGAAGGCTTCGCCGAAAATGGTAGAAGGGGTGTCTGACCACCGTATAGCCCAATAATTGAATTCGCAACAGATCGAGCTGCCTGTCGCTTCTTTTCCCTCGCTGAAAATGCGGTTTATAACTGAGTGAAGGCATCAAGCCAGTACTAACCTATCATTCTACTTTCCGAATTGTCAATGGTCCCATCGAGCTCGTTCACGTCTTCGGGAATAGTATAGACGGGACCGGGTCGGTGCATAAACAGCGAGTGCGTTTGATAGAACTGAGCGGCACGGTTGACGTCTACTTCTTCCATGTCCACAGACTAAAAAAACTGCATTGGGAAAGTCACTAGGGATGAATTTGGACAAAATTGCCCACGAGCTAGCTAGAAAAAAATATGCTAATGAAAAATACTGACCACATCTTCATCTTCTGGCGATTCCAAGAATGGATTCTTCCGTTCCTCTTCTTTCGAAATTTCAAGTGGGGTATCTTTCTTCTAAAATTCAGTTTGTACAAAAAGCTTACACAGAGCCTCTAGATTATGAATAATCAGGAATTTTGAAAATATCAACTATCGTAGGTTTCATAATTAGGTTGGTCTATTGCGCCAATTATGAGAAAATTTGCTTTAGAAATGTATGAAAATTTTTTAGTTTATGTTTTGTACGTTTTCAGCTGTACTTCTTTCTATCAAAAAAATTTGGATATTTTATTTAAAAAAGATGGAAGTGTTTTATAGTACTATCAGTACAAAGTACATTCAATCAAAAAGATTTGTAGAAAAAAAAGAGAATTTAGGTGTAAGACCCGACAACCATGATCTGAGGTGACTTGCTTCTAGATAAACAAAATTCTTCAAACTCGAGCTGAATTCTCAATATTTGAACTTGCTAAAAAAATTACTAGTCTATAGCAATGTGAAGAGCCGCCTGTACTAACTAGACAGAGAATCACATACCTGATCCGACAGACTCCCAATTTCTTCTATTTTCGGAGTGCTCTTGGAAACGTCGGTGCTCTAAAATAGCTTCTTCAAGCTGCGAAAACGACGTGGCTATTCTGGGCGATTACCTCTGGTTCCTTTTTGCTTTTTTGCAAAGTCGACTTTGCCCATTGTACATCAAATTCGTCGTCGGCCGCTTCACCGAACGCCTGAATCTGCTGCAGGACCTCCTTGCCATATTGCTCCTGAAGCTGTCGCTCTTGCTCCACTTCCTCATAGGTGGGAGTAGGAGCAATCGGGGCAGCAACAACCTAAATTTTTGGTTTTTTGGACAAAAACGTAGTAAGGTAAGTCTAGATCCTACCTTATCCGGGTATTCATCGTCATCCTCGCTTCCACTTTCTTCTTCCTCGCTATCTGCACGCTCACCATCATGCACTGTCACAGTGATTTCTGGAGTTGGTCGTTTCGCTGGAGTTGTCGTCTCGGCTGCCAATCCCATTGGAGTCTGAAAAAATTATTTCCTGTGATAGGTTCGGTAAGTGGTGTTTTTCTCACCCATGGGGTTGATGACATCTTTGCGGAAGTCAGACTCTTCGAAGAACCCAAGCCAGTGTCAAACTCTATTTCCTTGAGCGCATAGTCATCGTCAAGACTCAGGTTCAAGTTTTGGTCATGATCTGAATAAGGAGGTTGTTTGCAAGGATTTAAAAACACAAAATAAAAATGCAAATCAAATGATAGAAAATTGAGTAGCGGGTCTGGATCTAGGCCAATCTGTTCTCAAACCCTTCAAAAAAGTTGTTTGTTTTTACCTGGTGATTGTCGATTGAATACTTCATCCGATGGTTGCTCCGATTCATCGCCTTCAAAGACTGTTGTCCACATCCGCGTCCTCCCCTTGGCCCAGTCTGATTCCTAAAAACGCAGTCTTCTTTAAAGGCCCTGTCCACAATTAAGAGCGATTGCTTGATAAGGGGATAGTGGGGCCCCTATCAAAGTAAACATCCAAATCCCGCGCAAAAAGCGAAGTTAAACGCGAGAAACTCGTCCCAGAAGGTAGAAGCGGAAGTGGACGCTCCGCCCATCAACGTGGGTGGTCTGAAGATACAATCCAAAATTGGGCTTAAATATATCCAAAATTGTCGAGAGCTGATAGCGACAATGAAGAGCTTGTTCTCAACAGTTTTGGATACATCTACAATCAGATTTGGACTTCTACCTTTAGACCACCCATGTTGAAGGGCGGAGTGACCACTGCCGCTTCTCCCTTCTAAAGCGCTTTTCTCGCGTTGTCTTCGCCTTTTGCAGCTGGACTTGGGCGATTACTTACTTAATGGGGACCCGCTATTGTGCCTTATAAAAATCTAGCCCTCGATTTGGGTGAATGGTGCGTTTAACTTCCTGACTTCTATCAATATGAATAAGTATAACTGATGGGACCAACTTACTTCTTGGTTATAGATATCGTCATTCATTTCGACAGCATCCACAACACCCGACTCGTTGTGAACGCTGACTTTGTATCTAAAGAAGGGAGATAATTTGTAGAGAATTTGCTACACTAGCAGAGTGCTGTGACCAATTCTCTCACCTGTCCTGATCGAAGTTCTCGTCGCTAATCTCCGAGAATCGCACATCCGAATAGGTGAAGTCGAAGTCGTCTCGTCTGTCGTCGGCTCTCGAATCATTCCTTGAATGAGCGCCATCTCTCACCTCATCGGCATCCTCCAACACGTCGTACATTCTCTCGTTCTGCAAAGTGACAGCTCACATAAGCGCTTCAAGTGCGTGGCTCCGGGTACTTTCTGCTAGTTTCTGCACTCACCTTCGTTGCAAAATCGCCCAGCTCACGATCGTAGGACGTGGAAGTTGTGCCGTAGCCGGATTCTCGTGTTGGTGATCCGATCTCGGATGAAGAAGTCATCGACTGCTGCTTCGCTATCTTGTCAGCATCTGACTTTCCGTCAGGCACTGGTTTAGCGACTTCTATGGGTTCAGTAGCTGTAAGACATTTACCTCATTCAATGGGACGAAAGTATTTCAGGAAAAATAAAAAAAATACCTTCCCGTCTCCTCGCCGCACCTGGATCGTCCATCTGCGCCATGCGCATCACTGCTCGAATCTGCTCTCGTTCCGCTGGCGACAGGTGCGACAAATCCACCCCGGGTATGTCTTCTTCTATAGCCTCGTCTACAGAAGACTCGTACGGTAGTGTTGGTTCTGAAAAGATTTGCAATATATTCAAGTACTTGGATAACACTGAGTGAACAAACCTTCCGGCTTTCGGGTTACGGTAGAGGGTTGAGGTTCTTGAATTGCGCCGAAGGTGTCGACTGTGGTGGTAGGTACTGGATATTCTGATGTTTCCTGCTCCCAAGGAGATGGAGTGACTTCGCTAATCTTTTCAGCGCTTGGCTTTCTAAAAACATTAGAGTGTGAGCTGTAAAGTCAGTCTTTAGTTGAATCTTAGATCTTGACCAAATAGCAAGATTTCTCAAGATACGAATTTGCAAAGATTACGATTCCGTGGTACATTGTGCATACGACGTGATATGCTCATGGAGGTGTTGCCGTAATTTTCTGTTCTTAGGTCGAGACTACGACTTTAATGATATGAAAATGATAGAAAGTGAACGTCCCTCATTTCCTTCTGTAAATGTTGCAAACCAACCTTTCCAAAACACTAGGTTCCTGAACATCCTCAAATTCTCGTACAGTTAGAGCAAAATCGCTAATAGGCTCTTCGACTGGTTGAAGTGGTTGTGGTTCCTCCCTCATTACTTCCTTAATCTCCTCCCTGATTACCTCCCTCACAGTAGGTTCAGGTGGTGTGATGATCCGCTCTATTCGCTCTTCAACTGGTGGCTCAGGTGGTGTTATTATCTTTTCCCTCCGCAATTCTAGCTCAGGTCGTGGCTGTGGTGAGATCATCGGCGAAGGTGTGACTGGTAAGGACACTGCCTCATCCATCGCAGCTGTTGCCATTACAGCCATAATTTTCTCCCTTTCTTCGGCTGTCAAGTCCTCCATTCCAGGTGGAATAGGAAGGGGACTAAAAATGCATAATTACTCCATGCATAATTGATCTTGCAGAAGCTAATGAAAGAACTTACGCAGGAGAAGGTTGCGGAGGTGGAACGGAACCCAGTGTTGTTGGTCTTGTATCTGGCTTTGGAGGGGGTAGTGGCATAGCGATTTCTTCCTCTGCCCTTCTAGCGGATTCCATAACAGCCAAAATTTGCTCTCGTTCTTCTGCAGATAGTCCTTCCAAACCAGGAATTTCAGGTTCACTGAAGAGATATAGTTCTGTGGAAAGAAACCTAAGGGACATGAGGGCCAAAGCAAAGACTTTTTGTGGTTCTAAGGGCTAACCTGACTGCTGGCTGTGCAGGCCTATCCATGGCGCTTCTAGATCGTTCTGGCATCACATCTCGTATGGAACTCGTGGATGTCGATGGTTTCACAGCCATTTCACTTCCGCTCCGACGGATCTGCGGTGCTGGAGGAGCTAAGGATTCAGCGTCAGCTGCTGCCATCACAGCTAGAATCTGCCGCCGCTCCTCTTCAGAAAGACCCTCAAGCCCAGGTGGTATTACTTCCGGCTCCCTAAATAATATATTTTACTTAAGAATCTGAAAAATGAGGAAATTTCCTCGCACCTTGCTCGTGGTGGTTCCGGTGGAGGTGGCACAGAAGCGGCTTGATCGCGTTCCGCCATTGCCATCACGGCCTCGATGTGCGCCCTTTCTTCGTCCGAAAGTCCTTCCATTGGCGGTAGAGAGACATCACTGGAATACAACATTCATTATAAAGAACTACTCAAGCGTAAAAAGAGCACATGCCTTCGGGCGGACATTGATGAAGTCGGTCGTGATGGTTCTGCTGATGCTGAAGGTTCCCTATCGTGCTTTACTTGTGTGTCCTGTGCTGGTCCCCTAACTACAGTAGTCGTTTTTTGAACAGCTGCTGCTGCGGGAGCGACGCCGACGCTGAAGTAAAGCTCATCAACGTAAAAAATGAAAATCAAATTTCTAGATGACTTACGAAAGAGGTGTGGTGGCTTGCGAGGACACGATGCCGGCTGCGGCATCCAGTTCAGCACATGCCATCACTGCTTGGATCTTCAGCCTCTCTTCTTCCGACAGCTCCTCCAGACCCGATACAACTTGTGTAGTTGGAGCCTAGAAGACAGCTTGTTTATACTTTGAAAGAATTGCACTTGCATGTGGAGTTGCTTGGAACTGATGGACTAAGGAGAAGAAAGCTTCACAGAGTGATAATGGAGAGAAGTTTGTAGAGAACCTACAGAAAAATGATATAGATTGCTTGGCATTTAACGGCTTACGAAAAGGCTACTTCGACTTTTAAAGCGAAGTGGTTTTATACTACTCAAACCTATCTAGATGTCGAAACTCAGATATCAAAACGATTTTTTTCATTTGTTTGCGTACGAAGAGAAAGCACATTCTGACTCATCAAACATTTTGAAAATAGTCATGTATCTTATTTTGCGGAATCGTGAAAATCATTGTATGAGATACAATATTCACAAGATTTGAGCTATCTACGATTCAAAAAATATATTGTTCTATTCTTGTGTTTTTATAATACTATGATGAATGAAGTACTTCAGATCTCTATTTGTACCTATCCACAAATTAAATAAAATGCTGACAGACAAATGCTGTGAAAAGTACTCAAGAAAGTTTTTCTTTCTCTTTCCAGCAAATAGTTACCAGTTGAATCATCTTGTAGCTACTGGACCGTGCCCAAAAATTCCGAATCGAGACTAGAGCGGTAATACTTTATTTCGCAAAATGGAAATAAATAATCAGACAAAGCTTCGAATTTCTAGGGTTCTGCCTGGTTTGATGCATTTTTGCTTTACCAAACTTTCAAAACATTGGAGCTTAGGAACAATCAATTCAGAAAGCGCCGAATGCTAACTGGAGAGGTCCTAAGTAAGGCTTGCACTATTCTTATGTGATCGAATTTCCTCCACAACTTTGAACTTAAAGATTAACTAAAGCACAAAGCAAAAACGATGTGTCAAAGATTTTGAGATTTTTAAAACACTCATGAAAGTGACCTGTTCAATAACATGGCAGAGAAGAGCAAAGCTGCGTTGGACACTATTCACACTGATTCTTCCACTTGTGGAAAGTTGGAATAAATGATGAAAAGTACTCATTAGTTCAACTCATCCTAGTATTAGTAGATGAATTGTATGAAAGTTACAGAATCTTTTGAAAAGTTATCATCTGCAAGATGAAGCTTCTTTCAAATTTCCATATAAAACTATGGGAAACGGACTGATAGGCAAGGACTATACTTGTTTCTTAAAAAAAAGATGCAAACAATTCAAAATAGGAACAGAGAGTGCCTTATGTGCTGGATTGGATTTCGGGTCGTCGTGTGTCTAGTGAGGTCCACATGCCTCCAAACATTCTTTGGCGGAGCTGTTTGACTACCAAAACAACCAGCGCAATCGAAACTTATTTTCGCCAGCACCAGTAGATGAATACGCACTTTGTTTGAAGTCTCCTAAGCATTTAAAGTTGGTTACGCGAGCGATAGAAGGCCAGATGTCATAATAGAGCCCATTTGACATATCGAATTCACAATCAAACAACATGGCTGGAATTCCTGATCTCTCTGTGCTAATGATTCAGCATTCCATCAAGTTTGCGCAGAAACTACTTTCCGAAAATGAGTACGGTACTCTTCTTTAATAGCGACGTTAATGTAACCACAATGATGACAGGAACTTTTAGCTGCTGTTTCATAATATTGTATTTTGAATGTGCAAATATGATCGCCTATTTTCAACTAAACTTCCATTACTTTGAGAAAGAAAGAATGAAGGAAAAAAAAAACAAGATTCAGGGAGAAGATGAAGTATATGTAATGAGGAAAGAATATTTTGAGGAAACAGTTTTGCAAATGGTAGTCAGCTCATTAATAATACATATTACTATACTATGCACATATTTACGCTCAAAAGGTGATGTCGGTAAGGTCGCAGATGCATATGATTGATTAAAAGTAAACGCTGAGCGTTCAAAGCATTGCAGTGATCAAAATTGCTAGAATCAAAGATTTATCGCATGCTACTCTGTTGAATGTTTTTCGGCCGTCATTCTCAGTTTGATGCGAAAAATTCGACTACTTGCTTTATTGATGCAATAAAAAACAGACCGTACTACTAAAGTTATTGCTTCAGCTTCTGCAGAGTGCAGAAAATTAAATTCCAAGAATACTGATCTCTCAGTGGACCGGTACCGATTTTGGAATTCAAATCAATCTTCCTCATCCATTAGTGCAACGGCGAGTCTAGCTCAAAAAGTTCCATGTTATTGTTTAGAGTTCGGAAAACATAAGAGTATTCGTTTCACTGAAAAGGGAAGGAAGGCTGGTCGAAGTGGCCTTTCAAAATGAGATGTATACTGCCTTGTAGAGCTTGGAACGTTGATTCCAAATCTACCTTTGCTATCTGCTGCGGACTTCTGGGCGAGGAGTTATGAAGGTTTTTGTGGGTAAAAATCTGAATGCAAGAATAGGGTAAAATCAGTCGTAACCATTTCCTAGTGTTCAAATGAGGCAGCAACGAGTTGGTATATTTGGCTCAAGAATATTTGTTGCACTGAGTGACCCGACTACCAATTAATCCCTATAAAAAATGTTAGGACTGATTTTAGCCTACTCTTGCATTCAAATTTTTACACACAAAAACCTTCATAACTCCTCGCCGAGAAGCCCGCAGCAGATAGCGAAGGCAGATTTGGAATCAGCGTTCCAAGCTCTACAAGGTTGCAAACATCTCACTTCAAAAGACCACTTCGACCAACCTTCCTTTCCTGGTGAGTGCAAGCCTAGGGACGTGAAAAGCTTGTTGTTTTGAATCACGGGAGAAAGCACATGTTGTGAGATGACCTTAAGAATGAATTTTGGAATTCTTGGAGGAGCTCTAAAATTCAAGATAAGCAGTCTTAAGCTGAGAAATAGAATTATGATGCTCGTATATACACCCCCGGTTTTAACTGCAAAAAACAGGTCAATGATAGCGAAAAATAAGAAAAGGGAGAAAACAGATTATGAAGTGATCAACGCATTTTTTCATTGTACAGTTGGGAAAGACAAAAATAGAAAAGATGCGAAAGAGATGACTGAGATTTGAGTTTGGATTACTAAATTACAAAATGATTTGTGTATGCAGAATGGCTTTTAAATCTACATGATGTTTCTGGAACATTTTGCGTTTTTACAAGCTCTTCTTTTGAAACAGCATCTGATTAGAGAGAGCCTTAAGATACATTCCTTGCTACCCCACCAAACTTGTTGAACAGCTTGAAAATTTTCAGAAAGTCGGGGTGTATTTTGCGCAAAAAAGGAGGTTAGCGGGCGGAAAAAAGGAAACCTAATCAGTTGCTAGACATCGCCTTCATATAGGCTCAAGATTCATAATCAGTGCACCTGCAGAACTCAAAAACAGAATCTTTATCCCAAATGTGACTGGAGCTTACTAAAATTCAAAAATGAAGACCGCTGGACTCTTAAGTTCGAGCGATGCCCTGTTCTTGCGCCGAATCCCCGAAGTGAATGCCAAACGGTAATTTACTAAAGCACTTTAATATGGGCAAAAAGATGATTTTACATCATCGTGGCGCTATGCATGACATCATTTTGACTGATGGCGGAATGTGGTAGAAGCACTTTTGCGAGCGAGGCTTCATCAATTTTCTACAGAAAGAGAAAGGATGCTTTTTGGAAGGATCAGGATATCTTGTACCTTGCCAAACAATTCGTCAAATTTTTAGAAAACGATGCAATTTTTGCAAGTATTACTTTTGTCTGTTTCTCATTACAGAAGCTAAGTGCTCAAAAAACAATTATGAACCTTTATATAACTTCTTCTTCAATATTTCGCTAATTTTCTGATTCAATTTTCAAACAAAAATCCCCTCATAGCAGTGGCGGTCCCAGGATTTGGACCGGGGGGGGGGGGGGAAGGCGGCAAAAATTTTTTTGCAAATAAACCTACGCGGCATTAGCACGCATTCCGAAAAAATTTTTGGGGTGTATCTCAAAATTTTTGCGGATCCAGAGCATGTAGGTAAGTTTCAAGAATTTCGCGACCCATTCTCGGAGGGGGGCGCCTCTTCCCCCCCCCCCCCCCCCTCGGTCTACCACTGCTTCATAAGTACACAAAAAACCGCAGAAAAAATTCGTTTTCAAAAGGTTTTATCAATTGTTTCCGAGAAAACCCTCTTGGGTTCCCAAATACTGTTATGGCTTGAAAAAGTTGAAAAAATCCATATTAAGACAGCCTTGGGCGTTCACACTCTAAATAAGCTTTGTTCTCCAAAATTGTAGAAATTTATTTCCAAATCGAAATCGTAAATGCTAGCAATTTTTCATTTACTCTACACTACATTTTCACATTCATTTTTCATATTTTTTCCTTATGTGCAAGTCTTCATCGCGAATATTCTCTTCTCTCGTCTATTATATTGCCCATTATGTAGGCATTCCCAAAGCCATTTCCATCAATTTTCGACTCGCTCCGAGAGGGGGAGGGGTGTGCTGTGAATAATATATGACTCAGTCAGGGTGCAGCATAGGCGGATAATAGCTGGCTCAATTGCCATTCGAGCTGCAATGGCTAGCAAAAAGAATAGCGTATGCTATTTTCAGCATACAGGTTTCAGAAGAAAGTGCAATGACTGCAAGGTGATGTGATGTCAAGATGATGTCACTTCAAATTCAAGAAGATTTACAAGGACGGGAAACGTGAAAATTTGCTTATCGATTTTGGCCTGCCTGCCAAAAAGCATGGACTTTGTTAGTGCATATCAAACGCTTAATCGTCTAGACATTTTTGCACTCTATAAATTTTTCCTTCGCATTTAGCAAAAACATTGCCATTGCTTCGCACTTCGATAAACTTCGGTTCAATGACAGAAACGCTTCCAGTATTTTCATCAATGGGAAAAAAATCCCTGCCTTACAAAGAGGGGGCTCTCAGAATTAAGAAGATTTAGCAAAGGGACTGCTTCTGAAGTGAATATTCAGACGATGGAAGTAAATTTTTATTCACAAATGCAAATAACTTATTTCGCCATATCATCCTGAGTAGAAAAACTAAGAATATTTCATGTTGTGTTTCACTTTTTCGTAAAAC